GCTGGCAAATGGCCTGAAAAAAGGAAGGGAGGCTGTGGTGGCATGTTGGAGTCGTCGCTGTTGGCCAGTCTGCCCTTAACAGGTTGAAGCCCACGGGTCACTAGAAGGACCTAAGCAAGTGCAGCTTTCATTTTCTGTCAAAGAGGAGCAGCGAGATGCTTTCCAAGGCATCAGTCGCAGGCTAATTGGGCCCCGGTGGGTGACACTGCAGCATCATAAATAAAACAAACACAGTTGTGGTGTTTCTGCCACTGGACTCTTTAAACCTTCATCACAGAGCAAGCGGTTCCGATGAAACACCCAGCCTAATTACTCTGGTACGGGGCTGTTATCTATTCTGCCTCGCCGTAATTGATCCTCTTTTTTCTGCATGCATTTATGTTTTTAATCAGAAATGAGAGCATGCATTGCCTGAGAGCTTGAAGACCTTGTAGGAGCCGATAATTAGCCGCTCTGGTTAATGGGCCTAACTGTGCTCGTGTGCTACATGACTCTCTGGTGTCATAATGTGGCAGAGCTTGGAGGAGACGGTGCTCAGGGGTGAAACACATGTGATTAGTCTCCTCACTTCACCACAGCCCTCTTCACACCTTAGCTTTGCAGTCGGCACCGCAAACCTCTGGTGGAGAAAAATTACATATCCTAAACCGCACTCACTAATCAAATCGGCTTTTTGTGAACCTCCGACTGATCCGTGACCGGTGTTAGGGTTTAATCGTTTATTTATTTTTTCTTTTAATTCTCTTGAAAGGAACAGAGATGCTGAAACACACAAGTAGTGTAAGTGTGTTTTCCAAGTGTAGGGAGTTCTACGTCAAGTGTACCAGATGAAAGAAACGTGGCCTCTTTAATATGTGTGCTGCATTTGTGTGTTTGTATAGCGGCATGTATGCTAATTTGGATAAATATACAACTTGCCCTTGGCTGTGAATTATAAATCGGGCTAATAATAATACACTTAGAGTCTCTTGCTTCTTTTAAATTCACATTGGATCAAAATACATCAGCTCGCCGATTGTCATGTTGTGCATTCTTCATTCTGCTGGGTTTGCTGGAGATTTCACTTTGTTATTCAGCCAGTGGCTCCTTCCTTGGGAGTATATATCCATATTCATTCAGAACCTATAGAATGTGTCAAATAGAGGTGTCCTAATTGTGTCCTTGATGAAAGGCTATTAATATTGAACACTTTTGCATTCACCCATGTGCCGGCGTGGAGGAAATTGTGTTTTCCCCTTCTTTCAGCGAGACAAAAAGCAGATCTGTTCATATCTCTAATGATACCTGATTCCCCAGGGGTTAGTGGCGAGACTAGCTGTGGCTTTAGCAGATTCATCAAACAAAATATGGTGCTCTTTCCTCAGGAGGCCGAGAGTCACATTGCGTTATATCACTGTTAATTAGAATGAAATATGCAGTTCAATTATTCTTTGTATTGTTTCCTGACGCATGTGCTCGTGCTAACTATAGAGCACTGATGTAACACCAAATGTTAGAAAGCTTAACACTTTATTTCCGCTCCTTTTTTTCAAAGCCACAGCACAGTGTTTTGCCCCTTCTGCAGTTTATCCATTTTTCAACATGACAAAGTACGCCCATAACTATTCCATTCAGCAGCTATAAAAACAAAGCATTTAATAGTTTGAAGGTTCTTGTAGTTCTCATAAGCAGTACTGTCATGATTGCGGCAGTGGCTGGCCTGATTGGCTGGGTGGCCGGGTGTCTGTTCCTATGTGACATTGTTTTTTGAGGCAGGCAGTAGCTGTCCTGTGGCCGGTGTCAGTACCCAACAACCTCTGATCCGGGAACAGCAACTGTCAGGCCTGCACCTGTAACACCGAGACCTTGTGTCCTGTCCCCGTCCACAAGGCAGGGTTGCGCTCAGACATGCTTTGCATCTCAGCGGCACTCATTGGCCCAAGCAATACTCCCGAGACTGGGCATGATCCCAGCTGTTGTCTTCATTTTAATGCACTCTGAATAATATTAAAGCAGAATCAGTTGAATTTATTAATGCAGCTTGCCCCTTAGAGAGATGCTTTTAAAGGCCAATGATTTAATTTCAGCTCTTAAAGGCCATCTTCTATTCTTGATGCTATAAAGAATTATGGCTTTTGCCATGTCTTAACACCAGTGTGTACTGTGGGCCACAAAATGAATTATTAGTAAACTGCAGCTACTGAAAACAGCAGCTATTAGCGACCATTTTTCTCTCTGTTGTTATCTCAGTCATATTCCCACCCCTATTCCCAGAGACAACATCAATCCTGGTTACCATGATTTATATATTCTATCATCGGGAGAGAGTAAAGCAATGCGCCGAGCGCTTAAGTTACAATCTGGAACCGCAAAAGCAGAATACGACGTCATTTTAAAAGCTCCCCATGCAGCCTCCTCAGGTAAATGTGCTCTGATAGGCAAAACAAACTGACTGCAGCAAACTCCGTCTGTTCTGTCATTTGGATTGTGTTTCCACTGAGTCGATGCCCTGGCAAATTCTGCTCTTTATTGGTGTCAGAGTTCTGTCTGGAGGCAGACCGTAACCCCTGCACCTTTAATTTAGGCCAGTTGGGACTTGCAGCACAGCCACTGATCTCCACGACCCGCTTCTCAGGTGGAACAAGCAGACCAAATAACACATGCATAAGAGCTTTAACACGTGTAAGTCAACTATGAGTCGTGCTTTTCTTACTTTGTCCCACTGTGCGCATTATGTCTCCCAGAGAGGAGGTCAGAGAACCTTAACGGCATTGCACATGTAACAATTACTAAGGAGGTGCTGAGAATAGTGGCTTATTCAAATGAGGAGGTCTTTTTTTTTTTTTTTTTTTTTTGCTATGCATCTCCTTGTAAAGCGGCGCAGAACTGCGACAGAGAGAAAGGGTGCACTGTTCTCTCTCTCTGCACTTGGTAGTTTGACGCCCGCTCCGGGGCTGAACATCAGAGGAGCGGCTGCTGAAAAAACAGGTTGTATGGGTCCTTGCACACAGCCTGCCTGTGGTGCTGCCTGAAGGACTGCCATGGAAACAAGGAGTGTGACAGGCTCTGGGGGGATCCGCTACAGCTGCAGGCACTTCCTTTTTGACAGCCTGATGAAGACATCACTGCCACACCATGCACAACAACAACAACTACTGCTGGAAAAAAAAAAAATGTGATCAGACAATGTTAACTGCTGTGTGGCTCAAATGTTCATTAGCAAGCTTGTAAAACATCCAGGGATTTTCCCCACTGCATTCAGGGACCATATTGCACAGTGACTTCCTCTGCTGAGATTCGTAGCCTTCCCAGGAGAAAATACATTGATGAATAATTCCTTAAATATGATTACACCTCTTTGAAGAGGAGCTTATGTGTGTTTGGGTGCACGCGCGGTGCGAGTAGGTAGTATGAGTGTGCACTGGTGCGTGCAGAGCCGAATCAACATTTGTTGTAACCCTGTCAGACTCTTCTGTATGATCCATTGACTATGAATGATACAGGGAACATCCAAGTCCACAACCTCGGTGCCACGGATCCAAAGATTTGACAGCTTGGAGGCAGGCAACCGTATTCCCATATGACCTCTCGTAATGTCACTGGCAGCATTTGCCTCAATGATGTATCTGCCCATGACACAGTTTTATTTTAACTTTAAAATTGCTCTTGACCAAAGTGAGGGTTTTTTTTTAGTTAAATTTGGCTTTATGTGCCTGCTAATTGTCAGGTTCTTATTTTTACGTGTTCTGTCAGAAATTTAGATGTCCTGGTGCGGCAATTTGGATGTTTGCTGAAATGTCGATTAAAAGTACCCTGGGAGTATTGCTTAATTGGTTTCACCTCTTGGGGACACTTCATCGGGTCTTGCCAGTGATCTCCTTGTACCCTCCACCCCTCCCTCCCCAGCTCTGCCCTCCTCCCAGCACAGCCAAAACCAGCCCCCCCCCACCCCACCCCACAGCCCCAATGGAGCCAAGAATGTAGGAGGGTTTCAGCCAGTGTGTGGGATTTAGCTCGTCAGAAGCTCAGGGTCACCTCCACACCCTCTCACTTTGAAATGGACCCCTGGTGGCAGCTCCTGGGAGAGCCCAGTGATGTCTCTATCAGCCTGTCAAAAGAGATAGCCCGGGGCTCCACCAGGTCCCCCTGAGCCAATCAAACTCTTCACAAAGCACAGATGGATGCTCTTTCACCAGCGTGCTACTGCTGAGGAGGGGGGCACCCGGCCGTGATGCTCAGTCCCCCAATCAGTTAGAACAAACTCCCAACGGTGGGGTCCAAGCCTCAGTTCAGCCCAACTTTAGTTCTAACTATGTATATTTTAAAAGTGAGTGCTTGCCATTTGTCTGCTATCAGAGAGACAGACAGCAAGTCAAGAGGGAAACTATTTTTTTTTCATGCAAACTGCCTCTTATGTAGACAGGCTAATAAACCAAATAAGTGCAATATGAATTGTAAATATTTAGATGGAATTTGTTTTTGTTCTCAGTGTGGCATTATTGTGAGAATAATCAAAATTGTTTCACATGTTTAGCAAAAATCAAAACAGCCAAAGGTGTTCATAATTTATCGTTTTTGTATGTAAACTAAACATGGATGAGAAAAATGATAGAGGATATACTATATCCCTCTTCTTGGAAAAACTACTGTGGGGAGACAGATGGAAAAACCAGAGTATGTGTGTGTGTAGCCATTAGATAGGCCAGGTGATTTTAGTGGAAATGTAAAGCACTAAGTGCTGAGGATGGAGAGAGTACTCTGTGAGATGAGCTCTTTCTCTCTCATCTGGACCCTGTTATTGTGAGAAGGCAACAAAGCAATGCATTAGGAAGCACACTGGAGCCACACAGCTTTGATGTGAGCTCGGTAACCAAGGCGCAGCGGTGGCCGGTGTGTGAGCTCTGTTCCAATGGCTGTGTTGTGTAATCAGATGTGTTTACTGTGTATTCAAGTAAAGAAGTGGTGTAATCCATCCTCACTAGAGTGCAGTTATTGAAAAAGCACGGGCAAAAAACAAGAGCTCAAACTGATCAAGATTCTTTATTCAGGATTCCTGCAAATTCTCAATTTGATGATGAAGACAAGAAACTGAGTAACAATAAAACTCTCAAATTAATCAGTCTAATATACACGAGCATAAAGTCAGCTGAAAAAAATACACACACATTACATAAATATAGATTTGTTGCTGATGGCATATTATATACAGTAAATCCTTACCACAACAAGAACGGCAATATTCAATATTATGTAAAAATATTTTAAATGTGCGTCAAAACGTAATTTTGATTATTTAAAAATCTATTGCAATATACATGACCTTCTGACCTGTAATTATATTAACACATGGATAAAGAAAAACCTTGCCACGGTGTGTTTTCCATAAACTGTTAAGCTTGTATAAACTTAACCTTAAGGCAAATTTCTAAGTTTCACCAAAGTAAGAAAAAAACAGCAAGACAGTGGAGGTCTAAGGTAAGCCAAACCCGACGCTTTTCATTCCTTTTCTAAATTATATCCAAAGATGAAGGCTGAGCCTTGCAGCGCTCTCTTTTCTTTACCTCCAGGCTTGTGATTGACAGCGCCATGTGCTGCCCTCCTAGCTGCTGCAGTTCACAGCCTCTGTCAGGGGGGTGGCAAACACACAAGCCAGAGAGCGGCTGGCTGCCCCTCAGCAGCAGGGGGCAGAGTTAGGGTGGTATGGTGGGGTGCACAGGGTCATGGGCTCTGCTGGCACTGGAGCACTGTTGTCAGGTGGACTGCGTCGTACTGTATTCAAAAGGAGAACAGCCTTTCATCCAGCGTGTCCGCGGAGTCTACCTTTTCTTCTTCGGCTGGTTCTGGCTGGTGGGCGCTCTCAGCGCGCTGTGCTGCACCTGTAAAAACAAACAGGAGTTTGGTCAGAGGCAGGTAATCCGAGCTCAGTGGAGCGCACGGTAATGGCTCCCCTGAGGAGAGCTGGTGCAGGGGAAAGCGAGGCGGGCTCGCCTGTAATGAATCATTTTTTAAACACAGGAGCAGAGGGGATTAATCACAGGGAGGAAGGATTTGAAGAGTCAAGGGTTCCGTACCAGTGTACGCCCCCCTCATTCTGCACCACAATCACAATATTAGAAACAGACATCAACTGTTGAGATGACCTGCCAGGCCAGTGAGGGAGTTGCAAACTGCATAATCACTCACTGTAAGTTATGTCCCCTAAAGAAAACTTTCTTCAAGCCGGAGAATAGTATAAAGCCATTGCTGTTTAAGTTACCAGCATCAGTTGATGTGTAACTTTCTTCATGGCTTTACAGACCCTTGGTGTGACTTTGATTTCTTCAGGGAAAAACAAGACCTGACGTGTGACATCTGAACTCACAACCTTGTTTTTTTTCTGGTGGTTACATGTGTAGCATTAAACTGAAGATAGATTTACTCATGTCTGATTTTTTTTCCCCAGAAGTGCCTTGATGTTCAAATGGATTTACAAAATAAATGTATGTTGTAGAATCATGTTCTCTTTGACATTCAAAAAATTAGATTCAACTGTCCATATTTTTATTTCAAAACTGCCACCATAATCCAAAAAGGACTGATCATAGGGTAAACTGAAAAGGAGAAGAGCTGGAATTTGAAAACTTGCTTTTGAAGCACGCTTGCTGAGCTCAAACAATACGGTGAATCTGTTGAATAAAGGTAAGAACTCTATGCTAATTAGCTGGTCTCCATTATTAGAATGGGAGATGGAATGTGGGAACAAAGTGACTGCCTCCTGCATCAGAACATGAAACTGTCCTCAGAACTGACAGATGCTTCTTATTTCAGGACAGACACAGTGTTGTCAGAAGTCTCCGTTTGAGGCAGACTTTGTAGATGTGCACAGGCACTAATTGCCAAGTCACATTTGCAAGAAAGACAGGAGTCAATTTTCAGCCTTTGTGGTGTTTTTGTGTCCACACCTATCTGAGGATTGAAGTTCTAAGTCAACAAAAACAAAATATGTGGTCTATTGTTTTGGGTCTCCTGTGTATATGATGTTAAGGTTATTTTTCACAGTACATAATGAAACGTACTTATGATGAATCTTAAGGATGTTTTGTTTTTTATGATTGGAGCTATTTTCAAGATGTAGTTTCTCTTTTAAACCAGGCTAAAAAGTATTGTTTCCATGAGATTTGAAAGTGAGTCATTTTCAAAGCTCAAACATTGTATCCCAATGGGGAAGAAGACATACAAAGGATTCTGAATCAAAATGTATTCACCACCTTGTTTTGCCAACTCAGTCAGCCAAATCTCTAACAACACAGGCTCCCTCCAACATCACAGAGAAGTCAGCAATGGCTTGCTGCAGGAGGACATCAAGGGTGCAGCAGAGAAACAGACTGGGGTGAGAGTGTCTTTCCAGATCCAGACTGTCAGGATTTCTCTCTGAATTCAGTCTGGCGAGTTACCTGGGAGATGAAGGCACTGTGTGGCACTTCATTTCCTGGCCGAGCAAAATTCTCAGTCAGAGAACGGCGAACACCCGGCGCCACTTACAACACCCTGACAGCTCTCCTCAGCTCTGTGATGTAAATGCAAATGACATATCAGCCATGGCTAATATGTAATCACATATGGCACCCAGCAAGACGACTGGGGCTCACGACTACATTAATTGACTCCACCACCCTGAAGTGACTGAGGCCACATCAGAGTTTCTCTGCTGACACAACAGCCAGAGACGTCAGGAGCCCTCTGCCGGCCCTCGGCCAATCACCAACTTTAATGTCACAGCGCTTCAATCAGACGGACAAAATTGTTAATAACGGACGAGGCTGCGGCAATATGGCTGAGGACAGATCTGAGGATCTCCTCACTCAGGCAATACGGCGACTACATGGAGCTGCACTGAGGAATAATTGGGCCAGGGCTGCTTTAAAGGCGAGAGTCCATTAATAATCAAACAAAGCCAGAGGATATATTTCTGCAACACTTGGGAATTCTGGTACAGCAAATAATGCAGACATCTTCAGGGAATTCCCTCCCTATCTGTATGTAAAATTGGACCCTTACCTTTTGAACATCAGAAGGCACCCTCTTGAGGAAATCCAGTATTTCATTATTGTCAATAGTATATGGGTTGCGCAGCTTCTTGGTAAATTTGTTAACGCCTGTGAAAACAAGAGCACATTAATAAATAAAGGTGTCACAGCAACTGGCATATTTTGCAGTGTAAAAAATAATAATAATAAAAAGAGTTGTGTAACCCTATCTATGGACTGTGCAGTATAGTTCCCACCGGTGTATCAGTAACTGCATTACATGATGCTGTTTCAATTGATCCCCTTCAGCCAAACTGAATCCAAGCCAGACTAATACAATGGAGACAAGTGTGGATGCTGTAACAGTTAATCAATTAAAGCTGATGAATAATGATCACTGCAATCTGAAAAAGAGGCACATAGTCACAACAACTTTTCCTCACTTTAGTTTGCTTCAATCTGATCATTTCTAGCACATCTATATTTACTTTGCACATGGCTGCATACCACAGAGAAAAAAAAATATCTCTGGGGTCTTGTAATGGGACCATTATATTCACGGCTTGGTACTGCCTGTACCTCAACATGCAGACAAAGAACCTAAGGACTTAAATATGTGCAAGCAACTTGAAAGGCTTGCCTTGCAACCACAGAGATGGGGGTTAACTGGGGAGGCAGAGGAGTGTCTCAGACTGTGTGTTTTTTGTTTGATATGATGGTTTTTTGGTATTGATTGTGTTGAAGGCAGTGTGGAAGTACAGTGGTTGTGGGCTTACAGCTGGAGGAGGAGAGCCTGTTAAGGGCAGCATATCTCCCTGACCACTGAGATGACTGTCTATTCTGTATGACTACAGCAGATAATGAGAGGCTAGACCAGGAGCCTACAGACTGCCCAAGGACATCATGTATTATATACAGCTTGCTACTCTACCTCTGCTTTGTTTTCACACAAACCTTAGGCCTCGCCTCTGCTGGGCTCTGCTACATCAGCCCACACTGAGCAGTGCAAACCTCTGCAGCTGTCTGATCTCTGTGCATCTGCAGAGGTGTAGGCATGGCAGAGTTCTTAAATTACTGTACTTCATTAAATCATGGATTTGCAGTTAGGAAGAGTGAGTAAGAGTTGTGTTTTGCAACAGCAGTATGGGCGTTGATTTTTATGCAATTTGTCAGGATGTTTTGGTCACGGTAATGAAGGATCTTGCAAGACACAGATAGTGGGAGTTTGTTAGCTTGTGCTATTTGCCCATTACACTTGTAGTTATGAAAAAATAAATAAATTACAATTTCATGAATTAAATTGTGTTTTCAGATGTAGAACTTACCCCATATCAGCACAAGATATCGCAGAGGGACGAAATATAACAGCGTTGTTGCCACAAACAGCACCAGGCAGGCCAGGCACGACAGGAACGGGACGGACCAGTTGACTATGCTAGAAAAGGATCATTGTGTCAGATTAGAGCTGGGTGATATGGAGAAAATCAAATATCACAATACTGATATTGCGACAGTATTGTGGGGGTGACTATTGGTGCTTTCAAAAAACATTTACACAATGGGATTTTGATAAAGGCAAATAACAGAACAGCTAGAACAGTCTGGCAAGTTAAGAAAATTACAGCACATTACTGTAATGCAGCCTTTAAAATCATGAAAAGGCAACATTGCTATCATAATATCCAAGATCTAAAGCAATGTGTAGTTTACTATCACTATCCTGAGAAAATATTGATACCTTACCCAGCCCTAAATCAGACTAACGTAAAGTTCTATGAAAAAACACCAATATTAATTAAAAATTAAAAATACTTTGTAGGATAAAAATAAAAATGTTTACTTCCTGATTCGCTCCCCGATGTTTGCGATTTCCTCCAAAACGTTCTGGACAACCAGCAACACTTCCTGCACCATATGTATCTTATCCATCAAACCCTTTTTTCCAGATTCCTAAAAAAAAATGCACAGACACTGATGAGGTACACTGTATGTCAATTGTTGGGCAGGGCAGACAAAGAGCAGTTTATCTCTGCTGTGCTATTATGTGTGATTTATCTATTGAATGGCCCATAATGAGCAAACACTGTACATCTTCAGACTATGCTTTTGAAGATGAGACAGACTCAGTGCTCAGAAGCTGTTATGTGGATGGCTGAGAGATTTCAGCTTTTGTCCGCCACACACAATAGAGCTGTTGCACAAGTGCAGCACAATCAAGACTCTCTGGTAGATGAAAAGTACACAAAATGGCCAACCGCAATCAGGCAGAATAGACGACCTAGACGAGAGGAGCAGGGGCCTCACAACTTAGGAAAGATTCCTTTCCAGCAACCTGCACAGGACAAGTTTGAACATGTTTTTACAAATCTGTCCGGCCGGGCTTTCTAACCCATCCTCACACTTTTCCAGCATGAGAAAAACACTTCACCCCGCTTAGAACACCAGTTGGATGTGCTCACTCTTTCGCTCGCATGATTCTTGTCACAACAAAGTATTATTTGCTTTTAATGCGCTGATATAATAACGACTGAGTCTGGCAAAGCAATAAGTCAACATGTGAGGGGGTTGGAGGGTCTCAAAAGAAATAAATGTGATCACATCAAGGCTGGAAATAACGAGTGTGAAGCCTTCCAAAGGCAGAGGAGTGACTAGAGATAACACAAGTAACACAAGCTAAAGAGGGCTGAGAAGCCTCACATCAAAAGGAAGAAATAATGACAGGAATGATGACAGAGGGCGGGAGAGGAAGAGTGAGAGGGAGAAGGGGAATGAGAGTGTTGGGGGAGGGCGCTCTGATGGACCCTAGCAGGAGGCTTGGGGATGTCTATATGTTTATGTTACAAGTCAGCCGAAGCCGCAGCCTGTGAGCATTGACAGGGTCCAGACAGAATGCCTTTATCAGAGCTTCATGAGGCAGCCCCTGGGAACACACTGTCTGCCAGCACATAGAGACTCCCCACTGTCAGGCCCACTCTTCTCCACGCAAGGCGCAGGAAGAGAGCAATTCCCACACTAGCAGAGCCTCCCCCACCGGGCTCGGATCTGGACAGACACTGGAGGCTCAGCACTGTCCAAAAAAGGAAAAACTATCACAAATATGCTTTCTGTGAGATTAACATCTCATGGTCTCATCATGGGGAGAGAGGACTATCTGTGGTTCTGCATCATCTTACTCCACTCCACTGCGGTGGCGAGGAGGGGGGGAGGGGCTCTGAGCAAACCTTCACGCGTGTCCTTTCCCCTACATCAGGTGTTAATTGAGCTCTTTATCCAAGTTTATTTTGAAAGCGGGAACACTGTTAGATTCCGCTAAAAGCCATTATAACCCGTGTTGGTGAGCTCCTGATGGACACAGAGAGCCACGCTCACTCGATATGGAGCCTCATCAGCAGGGCTCACATTCCTTTTCATATTTCCATTTAAACTTGTTTAAACAGCCCAATTACATGATTTAGAATTCAAATCTAATAAAAGATAGGAAGCACTATTTTACTGCACTGGCTACACATGCAAGGTAAATTTAGCCAGAAATACAGCTCCGGCAGGAAAAAAGAGAAACCATATTGGCTTTCATTTCTAAAAGGAAAAACAGACAAATAGATGTACTCTGAAGTATGCATCGAGAGGCAGAGCTCTCATGATTATCATTATTCATGTGCTTTAAGATTCTTGAAATCCTCCATCTCCTTAGCGACCAAAACTGAAGTCCTTCCTACATTAATCATTTGATGATATTCTTTATCTTTGTTCATTTCTCTTTTTCAGCATGTGCACGAGTGCAGGGAAAACAAAAATAAATAAAAGATCTCTTTCTGAAATGGAAAAGGATGGGTAAACTGGGGATGGACTAAATGAATCCTAAATGTCTACTGATTAGAAAACCTGTGTGAAATCATATTCTCATTTCAGATAAAATTGTAAAAGCTTCCTTTTAAGGTGCGGTAATGGAGAACCAATTTGATCTCCTGCACAAAGGTAAACATACTCTCACAGACATGTGGGGTGTTATCAAAGGCTGGAAAAAGCTCATTTAGCATCATCCTAATTAGAATAAACGGTGCCAAATTTGAATTCTCTGACTGAATATTTTTTTTCGAGCGACTTTTTTTTTTTTGACAAAGATAAGAAGTGCATCTAAATGAAAAACACCTGTGTTCTATTCAAATTACCCCACATGGAGCTAAAATAAGCTAACAAACAATTTGCTGGGATAAAAACACACAAAAAAAAGCTTTAATGTGTTGGTGGGTGCATGTGCGGCGGCTCTTGTAATGCACGCCACACATCACGACATGGGCAGTCTGTCTGACTGGTGTGCTCAAGGAGACCCAGCGGTGACTGTGGACTATTGGGTGAGAGATGGAGTAACCCCCCAGCCCAGTCTAGCACCCCCACAACCACCTCCTCACCCTCCTCCCCCTCAAACTCCCCTGGGCAAGGCTCTGGGAGCAAGTCAACCTCAGACCAGCACTGCCAGCCAGGGGGCAATGAAAGGGCTGTTTCATCTTCCCTTTTCATTTCTATTGGAGATCTATGGACTTGTTTTGCCTCTCTGTTTCTTTATGTTATGATTAAATATTGTCTATCTGCACAATTGATACCTAAGGCCAAAGGGAAGTCACTTTGCCCACACATAATTTGTAAGCTGTCTCTTTCCCCGAGGACAGATTTGTTCACAGGCAGAGAATCTGTTCTGTATTATCCCGCTGTAACACTGCCTTGCCTTTCGTCTCTCTTTAACGTCATGCCTTCACATTCTCGCTGCTCTGTCTGAGGTTTAAATATTTCCTACCTCAAGGGGGAAAAAAGGGGGATAAAAACATATTTGAGTGGTAATCATAACCTTCTCAGAGGGAAAAGCCTTTATTCACATGTTAGAGGAAAGACTAGGGGGAGAGAAAGCAAAGGCTTTGAAGTCATCAAATTTAACACTGATCACTCTTTAACCCCAAATATTTCTAAAGAAGACTTTGATAGGAGGTGTAAAGCTACACTGCTTGATCTAACTGCATGATATCACATCCAAGTGACAGCGAGACCATAACAAGACTTTCAAAAAAGCCACTTTAAATTAAAGCTGACAGCTTAAAACAAACATGGGTGACTGCTTAATTAGTAAATGAAAGGAGATATTTCATTTCCTCTGAGTGTGAAAGGGCTTAGGGAGGCTCATGGAAAACCTTTCAGAAAGCTTAAGAGTTCGGAAACACATGCTACGCACTGAGAGAATCTTAAACCTTTCTAAAGACACTGCCATTTTTTAAACTGAAAGAGTAAACATTCCTATATTAAATATTGAGTTTTCAAGGTAAATACATGTGTAATAATAGTTATACAGAGCAATGATATTTAATTCAGTGCACAAAGGTAATCCTGCCTGATTCAATATTCATAAAAACACTGAATTTTCTGTGTCACTGCTGTTTGTTTAAGCACCAGTTTGCCTGTTTCTAGTGATGATAGCAAGTGCAGCTCCCTGCTTTCGTGTGTGCAGACATATCATGTGAGTTTCATCTGTGAATTAGCCCATCCTTTCAGACAGGATTTGGTGGATGTGCCTGTGTTTTTTTAAAAGAAGCTGGCTTTTTTCATAGCCCCAGGTCATCACAACAGAATATATTGAGTGCATTATGGATATGAATCCTGGGCCTAGACACGAAGCACAAGGGTCATCGCTTGGAGGCTTTGCGTTAGCTCCACACTTCATTGCCATAAAGCAGTAATACACATCCCTGTTAACTCTTCCTTCTTTACAGGAAACAGTGGGATGAGTGTAATTGAATATTATGTGCTGTGGGGAAGTATAATTTCAGGCTACTTAAAGATTTCCTGTTGTTTTGTTTTTCAAGAGACACTGGAGAGATGCATTAATACATTATCATGTATGATTTCTCTCAAAGGAGCGAGTGAGAACGACTGATAACCTTTGGGGCGAAGTATAAGTTTGATGCTGTGTTATTGTACTTTGTTCATTTGTTCTGGTGGTAAAAGGTCACTCTCAACACAACTTTCCTATTTAGAAAATGATGATACAAAAATTTTATACTTAACAGCTGTGCAGAATCTAATTGACAGTGCTGTTTAAATTTGATTTATAGATTTTCAAAGGGCTGCAGTGTCTCGGCGGAGTGCATTTGTAGAGTGACACTGAATACCCAGAGGAGCAGAATAAAGAGCTACATGCTACAACTGTTTCATAGATGTTGCCCTCATTTGGGATGCATCAAAATATTTCTATTCTTAGTCAGAAAAGAGCCTCTGAGAAGTAACTGTGATTTTGACGATATTAAAATACAGACTGGAACCTGTGTGGCTCTTCGGTAAAATATTTTTTATTTTCGAAGAAGCAAGTGCTCATCTGTGTAAGAATATCAGCTACTTGCTGAATCGGGAATCTGTGCCCAGCACAGGCGATGCAGACGTTGTTACGTGTTTGATTTAACCTTGGTGATTCAGATAGAAATATCAGAAGGGGTCACACATATCATAAGTTCAAAAATTATTTTTACATAAAGCCACTGATGTCACTGTGATATTTAAAACATTCAGTGTCCATGGTAAACCTTCAAAGACATATTTATATTTGTGCTGAAATCTGAGACGCGATAACATTCCACCAAAACATATTAGCCCTTAAAATGTTAGAAAGAGACAAGATAAAATACCTTCTCGTCTTCCTCTTCGTCGTCACCCATGCTCATGTTCACCTAAGAGAAAATAAAGGGTAGAGGGTGATTTCAAACGAACGGGACATGTGGGCAGTGGAGCATTTTTAACAAACACCTAGTAATGAAATTTTCTTTGAGTACATTCACCCCTATTGGGAGAGGCTTGTTTCCATAGAGACTGCATCACAGGGGTGACCTCACACAAAAGGAGAGGTGAAAGAGGGCCTTCCTCACAAGAGCACTGTCACACCAAAGCAATCTCATTTCTCCACAACATAAGCACACAGAAAAACAGAAAGAGGAGAAGAAAAAAAAAAAAACACATTTAATTTGGATGCTGTTGCCTAGATCACTTTATATCAAGTCATCCCTGACCCCAATGTGGTGCACACTGTGACATTGCCTGGGAACAGAGCTGTGTCATTGCCGGCCAGAGGGTCACAGAGGGGTGGCAGTGTCTCCACACTGGATATGAGGGTGAGCCTGGGCTTTAACATTGCCCAGGGACGGCATCTTTGCCAGCAGCCATAAACACAATCACTGGGCCGGGGATGTTGCTTTGGGGAGGGTGTGTGAGCAGGCCAGGCCCCTGGCTGGCCGGTGAGAAGGCTTACAACATAGTGAAATTGGGGGGCAGTCAGAAGTGTGAACAGCATTAACCTTCACAGACATGTGTAGGGCAAACATAATTTCCATAACAGCAGATAGAGAGAGGATATAGTGGTATGTTGTGGAGGGAACTGTACTCGTGCATTTTACAGATGTGATGAGACTAAATCAACAGACTATAGGCTATACATACATTTACAGTCATTTAATTCTAGGGGCTCCTTATTGCTTGGTGTTTTATTGGGCCCCTGGAGAAAATGTAGAAACTAGTTTAACCAGCTATAAAACACGTGGCCGATACAACTGGCTGTACTGTGAGGTGCATTTTATAGACACGCTCCTGTATTATACAATGTACATGCAAGTGTAAAAGTTGTTAATTGACATCCATGTGAAAATGCAATTTGTCTGCCAAAAGGACTCCGTTCTTTTGGCAGTTGGGTCAACATTTATTGAATTTGCACTGTAACAGCATGCGTCTACACGTTTGGATGAATACTGAAGAGTTCGGAGTCCTTGTCACTCACCAGGTCCTGGTTGGAGCTGGCCTTCCCTGCAGAGAGCTGGAAGTAGTGCCAGCCAATGATCAGAAGCAGGAAGAGGGGAAGCATGAAGAGCTCCCAGTGCCACACCGTCACAAGGAAGATCTGAGAAGACAGGACATGACAGTATAACGCAAAGCCCATCACACTATAGCATGGACCAAGCTTTCAAATCTCAGCAAGCCTGTTCCCAAAACAAAATATATAATGGATTTAACCACGTCCTAAATCTCATGAAAAGCACTACTGACTGTAAAGCCGCTGAGATTTACAGCCGATGGCAACAGATTTTACTCTTAGTGGTTTGAAAGTAACAGACATTCAGGGACAACTTTTAATATCTTGAAATCCTATTTATATACACCAATAACACTGCACTGGCAGAGTGCCTTACTGCAGAACAGAAAGTATGACATGGATAGGCATGGTATGCTGTCTTTTAACTAGCACATCAAATCCTCTTAGATTCAGAGGCAGCGAGGCTCTCTGACGAGGCGCATATGGCAACTGGAGAAGCATTTGCAACATTTACCCCCTCCGTGGCGATGATACTGAGAAAAGCCAAGACCCCTGGTAGAAATAAGATGGATCACACTGAATGAGTAATCCCTCATAATTCTGTAAAGGAGTGGTGCTAAGCACGTTGCACAACACCCACTGCATTTCACAGCAGAGCACTAATTGGACGGCTGCATTTAAACCCATTTAGTGACAGCCTAATGAGTCTGTCTCCAACTGAAATTATCAGGAATGTGTGAGGAGGATCACACCAGCCGGTTGACAGGAATGAAATAAAAAATGTCCCCCACAGCAAGTACAATCTTAAAATCTATTATAGTGTGATTATGTGCCAATACGTCTAACATATGGTCCACTTTATTTACCACACACGTCTTTCACAATGAAATTTTTTTCTCATTCTTTATATATGTTTTCTATAATTAATGCATCTTTTCCAACAGTTACTTTTATTGTACTTTCTTAACAAGTTTTTTCTTTCTGGAAAGTTTATTTCAAAACATTCACAACTGCTAAGCTGAACCCACACGTTGCTAGCACTGTGCAGTCTAGGCTCAAAGAGCTGGAGGCTGCGTCGACTACGAACAATATGTTCGAGTTAAGCCCGAGACAGGATGTGAACCACTGAGGCCTTCGGGCCTTGATAGCAGGCCTGTAAACAGCAGACTGCTCCTGTCATAGCAGCCACACAGAGTCCGTGTACGTTGCTCTGGGGGCCAGTCTACCTACTGCCACACCAGGCCTAGGTTCAAATGGCCACCAGGGAAACGTGAACCATGAGTAATGCAGACAACACTGTGGCCCAACTGCCCTAGGCTTCACCGCTGTACCACTTATTATCCCTCGATACAACCTGGGAGATAGTGGGTGAGCTGAAGCGTCATGCAGAAACACAGCGGGATGACCAAGATATAAAGAAATGAACAATATGAACAATATGTTAGAGTTATTTATTTTTTTATAAGAGCTCATTTGAATTACGTATACAGCAACAAACTAGAGCTGGTGGGGAATAAAAAAAAAGGTAAACAATGAATATGCATGATGTGCAGAGAGGTAGCTGCAGTACATCTCCTCTCTGTTATGAATAACCTACGTCATGTGTTGTCACCTCAGTTCCCGGGAGGCAATTCTAAAGCGACGCTCCCCTCACCCCAGAGGAATTCAGCTGGCTAGTGGACAGGTAGCTTGTCATATTCCCAGTATTCTCATAAAAAAGGAAAAAGAAAAGGGGGGGAAATGTGCCTGGAAACTGACATGAGCCCAGCAGGAATGTTGAACCTCCTTGCCCTCCCTGCAAAAGCTGCTACATTAACCACTAAAGTCTAATTGCTTGGTCTCTGTCTTCCTGTGCAAGTCAACAGAGGGAGCCAATTCATTTCTGCCCAGGGAGCCGGCAGAGAGAATCTGTCACAGGTATTCATAATCGCCCACTAATGCAAATTTCTGCTCACCGCGTTCTGGCTCAGTGGACAAGATAAAAGCCTACAGAAATACAATGCCTTGTGTCTAAACTGAGTGCTTAAATGAGGGTATAAACCAAAACTGTCAGAAATATCTTCTCAATTCCTCCCTCATGGTATGTCAGCCCATGTGTTCAGGATTTACATGCTTTTTTAACACTAATAAAAACGATGGAGAGAAACATCTGGGAAAACCTCTCAGATTCCTTCACTCAGGTGCACAGACTGACTCTTCGCCGTCAGACATCCCGCAGTAATGAGCAGAGGCAGGACTAAACCTTCCCCTTGTCTCCCCATATTCTCCAGAGTTTCTGTGAAATGGAGACAGAACTAATTCCCCACTAAGTGGTTTATGTTTTATTAGCAAGCAGCTGAGTGATTAAAGGACATGTTGGACAAAGTGCAACCTTTCAGGCGTGAGTGTAAATTTGTATAAAAAATAATCCTCGTTTTAATTGCCATCAAAGAGGCTCCGTTTCAGTCTTAAGGGCCTGGCTGCGTATTTTTTCATCCGTCAACAAATTACGCGTGACAAGTAAAACCTTGAACTTTTTACACGCGACAATGCTAATATGTTGCATGGGGCAGTAAAACAGTCATTTATTTCACCAAAAAGGCCATAAAGCAGCAAACAAAAGCAAGGGAGGTAACAATTAATGATATACCTGAGCATTTAGGTTTACACACAGCAGAATTGGATAACAAACGACTTGTAATTGAACAAGTGTTAGTATGTATGTCTGGGAGGAGTGTCTCTAATGTAGGAAACCTCCCTTGACAAACACCATTTAGCTGAAAAATGTCTGTATGATTATGCACAGGGTGCCTAGGGAGGAAAAAAAAAGAATGAATTAATAAAACTATTAGCACACGGTGGAGTAGATGATGGAGATGCACTCTCCTTAGCCACCTGTAAGCGCTTGGAGAAGGGGGCAACCCTGGGCAGAGCAATTCTGCCAGCAGGGTTAAGAACAGCCTGACAGATTTGTTTTATAGTGCCATTAATATGATTCCACTAAATGCATTCTGCGCCTTCTCATGCAGATCCCCTGGCCAGCAGAATCCAGTACCTAATAATAAAGCACTCAGCGATTAAAAGTGTGAATAAAATAACTTAAAGCTGAGCAAGCATGGCAGCTCCCACCACCCACACTCTCCCAGGAGAGGGAGAAGGGATCGTAGCAGGAACAAAGGGACAAAGACACCCTCTATAAGAGTTTCTACCATCCTGTAAATTGATTAACAGAGGAGGGGGTTGCCCAGTCTAACAACCCAAACTACTGACTGGCAGCCATACCACCAGACTGCAAGGCTGCCAAATGCTTTCCTTATACACTACAGCAGATAACGGGCTATAAATAATAGGCGTCACATCAGTATAACACACATAATACTGTTGATGAGCTGAATTAGTGTAATGTCACAGCACATGGGACCATGGCATACCTCTAATGTTGCTGTGAAAAAAAAGACAGCAAACTAAAAACAACTATTTGTTTAACATGCTGCATTTCAAAAATACCCTTATTTTTAAGAGTATGTACCATCCAAAACCACGGAAGATTTAATCTTGGCTGTATCTTCACTACTCTCTTCAGTTGCACTCCACTTGGAAAGCTAAACAAAGCGAGGAGAGCGCCAGCCAGCATTATGAGGGTCAGTCATGGGGGCTGTGGACGGATGCCAGATTACGTGAACATATACTGAAAGAGTTTAACAAGACTGACTACAGGCTGCAGGGTTTGTGTATATACGCGTATGGTTGTCTCAGTGTGTGTATGCGTGGTTTGTTGAGTGTGTAGCGAGCAGAAAAAGGCCAAAATCTGTGCGCTTGACTATGTGTAAATATGAGATATAGAAAAATCAAGAAAATAAATTTAAATGATTATTATTTAAAAAGACAAACAGGAGCCTCTTCAAAACCTTGACACAATTTCACTTAGATCGCGATGGTCTTTTTCTGGGTGAAATCAAGGGCAGTAAAATTAATCTGCCTTACTTCCTCAATTAAAATACACGCACAAAAAAAGAGATTAATAATGAATCAAAGGCACAAGTAGCAGCTCAGCTCACGCAGGTCTTTTTTTTTTTCCAGTCTGGCTGAAACAGAGTCTGGCTGAGGGCTTATGTTGGGGACAGCAACGGCAGGCTTTAAAGTAGCTGTAAACGCAGAGCAATGAGACATGTAATTTGTGTTGAGCTTGGGCCAGTGTGGGGACAGGCTTTCAGGGGGTGTCGGAGGCAGAGGAAGCACAGATAAGATTTCTCTTCGGGGCAGGTAGAGTGTGTGGGCAGCCATGGTGCTCTGAGCTAACGCTGAATAAATATTTCACATACGCTCAGCTCAAGTCTTATCGACTGGGGAGAGGGAGAGAGAGACAGAGAAAGAGGGGGAGAAAGAGAGAGGCTACATATGAGTGAGAGCAATAAAATGGGGAATCTCATGTCCCTCTTCAGCGGGATGAAATCTGTTCTAACAGTTATGGGGTGTGATGCAATTCACAGTTCAATTTTAAATCAAATACAGTGTGATACATAGTGAAATTTATATTTACTGCATCTAACTTACTTAAGTTAAGGGGTTAGTTTTCCACTTTGTTCACAATTAATTATTTAGTACTGTTATTTTGCCTAATGATGGCTGAATGAAAAGAAAGCAACAAAAGGACACATTTAGTAGCAATTCTATTATTTGGGTAAATTCAAAACTAAAAATAAATCATAAAAACTATGTTACAAAGTCCCATTGGTGTTCACTATTTTTTTTAAATATGTGAACAAAAGGTAAGCCAGTGATAAACAAATACCACAGCTCGTTTAGATGCATGCACAGTACAGTGCAGTAGTGATAGCAGCTCTTTATCAAAGCACTGAGGAAGAGCAGCCGTGCGAGGCAAAGCATTAGCATTTGCTCACAGGGCCAGCTCTGGCCGTTGTCTCCCCGCCTGTCTGACACATGCCCGGGCCAGAGTAGCGTCAGTGCAAGGCTGGAGCGGGGCAGTCAGCGGGGGCCCCATGGTGCCTGTCAGTGGTGGCTACACTGACCCTGCACTCCGGCACTGGCCACTAGTGTTTAATCCGTGTCGGGAGCGTTAACACTGAGCGACCTCCTGGGTGACAGATCTGCCATGCGAGCCTTTTCCCCTGAGGAGGTGGGGAGGGAGTGGCATGGACTCGCTCTCCCTGTCAACTCAGCTCACACGCACGTTAACGTGCCGGGGCCAAGACCAGCCCCGGAACAGCCACACACAGGGGCGGACAGGTCGCCGCCTCAGCTGCCTGGGGAGAAGTGTCCTCTGTGACTAGGAAGGTGGCAAGTATGTTAAAGGCAGTCATTATGATATGGCACACACAATGGGGTTAAACACAAAGCACGCATGAAAACATAACATAAAACAACTAAGGACAACAGATGCGCAGATAAAACCTCCACACGCTTATTCAGTGTGGTCAGTTATTATAAATCTGAGGACTTGTTTGTACTTAAAAGCTGCTTCGTGCAGTTTAAAGTGCTAAATGATAATAAGGAATTTGGCCAATTTAAACTCAATCAAATGTGTTCTCAAAACTGAAATTCGTGTCCTAAAACATATAACAATAGGAACAATTTCACAGCTCTAATGAAGTGAATATTAGCAGAGAAAGCTTATTAATCCCACTAATAGGGGGACATGTTTCAAGGTTACACACTGCATTCAGCCAACCTCCAGAGCTGTCAACTGACACATAGCCATTCAGGGAAGCTAAATAATAATAATAATAATAATAATAATACTGTGTTAAATCAGGAGGCACTGCTGAGCAGTTTGCAAGAAGTCATAGCCTATCATTTAATAATTAATAGATCTCAGACTCAAAACCATGAATATACACATCACCATCACTGTCATCATTTTTTCCCCTGCTAGATACATTCCCACTACACAGTCTGTGAGAACTCCCACAGCCAGGGAGATGGAGAGTGTAACCCCCATGAGACTGAAGAAACCCACTCCTCTTAGGCCTCCAACTTTTTTAAACAGAGAGAAAACAGATGCAGAGCAGAAACAAGGAGACAATTCACAGGCGTGCACAGTCGTCTCGCTGTTCTCACAAAAGCTCGGCCACAACTGCAATGCAGTAAACCACAAATAGGCAGATTCAAGACTCACAAAGCATCTCATTTTCAGGGACAGTGTTAACAAGAACAATTATGACAACTCTGATTATGGCTTTGATCTCAGGCGGGCTGGTGTTCTGGTTAATGGCCCCGACTGCCGCGGCTCTACACAGGTGGTCTCCCGGGACCTCTGGAGCCAGATCTGACCCTGCCCTGCCCTCATCTAGGGATACGATGATTCTATCAGCCCCCCAAAAAAGTGCCCGTTGCAGCTGCCAAGTGTGTTTACAGCTGCATCGCATCAAACATTCATCAAATGCCATCTTTACAGTGTGTGATGTGAGGCAATCAGCATTTCACAGGCTGTCAAATGATGTCTAAAGTGGTTGCTACCTGGCAGTGACAAAAAGAAAACGGTTCAAATACTCACATAAGGTATACAGGTTTCTTTCTAGTCTAACTCCTGACAGATGAGGTACCTCATATGTTAAAATATTAATTCTACTTAAATACTTAAAGCGGTCTAATGACAGCAAAGCTCAAAATCAGCTTTCAAGTGTAAATGATCCTTTTTCTTTTTTCTTTTTTTTTAACTTTCATCCATTTCATCTAAATCAAAATTGTTCTCAACTTTAGACTTCTGAAACAGATTAATTTGGCGGGCTAATACATACTCATTTAGCTTTTTTTTTTCCTCTCCTTTTTTTGTGTGGAAGAAACTTGTGTCTCTTGGTGTAATGCACAGAATGGAGGATTTCACTCCAAGTTGTTCCCACGAATGGCTCCTGTTGGGAAAAGTAACTGATCTCCTTAGCGCCTCCGTTTGTGTTTCCAGCAGTGCTGTAGCTCCATCTACAGGTCCTATGCTTGCGTGCAGCAAAGAACTCTGGGTGACCCCTCTGCAGTCACTGCTGATGTATAGCACATTCATCTCGCTCAGTCTTAGTGAAAAGCACATCTAAAGGCCGTTATTTTATGAAGATTTTAGCTGTCACATTTCCTCTCTCTCAGAGAAAAGAACATGCTGTTGTCAAACTCTTGAAAAGCGCAGATCCTAGGCTCATTACTGTAGCATAAACAAGAAGAGGGGGGAAAGAAATCAAAATTTCTTGTTTGTATTTCCGCTCACTGATGAAAATGTTTATGAGGATTTGCCAGAACTTTGTTTAAATGCGTGAGGGAGATTTTTTTTTTTTTTCATTTTCTTGCATTTTTTTTGTGTTACATTACCTAATTAGAGAGATTCTATTTTAAAACTGCTACACATTGGTGGGAAAATCGAAGGCGACTTCAAACGGTGTGGACTCTGCTGATGAGATTGCACAATCAAAACAAGTAACCTCCTGCACTCGCAAACAGTGACAATACTGCAAGTATTCCCATTCCTCACACAATAACACTCAGCTGCAGCGCAGGACCAAGTAAACCATCAATCTGTAAATGCTAAATGTATATGTTCCTGGGTGTGAAGCTTTCTGATTGCCACTCATGAGAGAAAAGTTACGAACAAAGAAGACTTCTCTGCAAAAAAAAAAAAAAATCTTTTTTTTCCACACTCCCATTCACATAGTTAACGTGAACCAGAGCAGCGATCCCTCATACAAAATTTGAATACCTTACGCACCACACACCAACAACCACTTCATAATGCATACACAAATCTACATAAACAGGATACAAATGTAGACTGCATGCTGTGTGGAGGTCAGAAAATTGGCCTGTGGGACTGAGTGATATAATGGCTAAGTATTCCTGGTAAAGCACTACGCGAGCATCCCGCAGTCCCAGTAGAAACCACAGCAGCGGTAATGCATTACAGGATGTATATGGTGTAAAAGGGTAGGACCGGTCTGCCTGCTTGATAAATAATGTATTGTAATGTATATTAAAGCTAGACCCACCACTGCAGCGTTTCCTACCGGCATACCCTGAGAAGCCCTGCGCTGCCTGCCACTGTGGAAAAGAGCAGACACTAGTGGTATAATTATGCACATCTGAGAGGCAAGCAGAGGCCATCTGTCAATGTCTGAATCAGTTACCTTATTACCACTGCCTAAAGATATAAAGATAGGAGTGGGAGCTGCTTTCATTAAGGCACATGGTGGCATGCTGCTTTAGACAGCTCCAAACACTAACTTAATTGCAAATGATGACTTGGAGGAGGAGGAGGAGTGGCTGTACAGTGGCTACCCTTGGAGTGGGCAGGGGCACTAGTGTGGATGGCGGCGTGGCACTAGGCTTGTAATGACAGTCAGTCAAGACCCTGTTGTTGCCCTCGCTGACTCAAGTTCAGAGTTTTTGCGGTTACTATCAATTACACGCAATATTTACATGTGATTTGCATGTTTCACTGCGCTCGTTACTTGTTGAGAATGTAATAACCCATTGAAAACAAGAACTTTTCACTCGCTGAACTCTCAGTCGGCTGATGAGTGGGTGATGAATACACAGTGGCAGATTCACTCTGTTTGGGCAATTCTCGCCGCGCACCTTCGACACTTAGACTATTTGAAGCGCACCTCATCGCAGACAAAGGCGAACTCTGACTACTCTGTTGCGGTCTGCTTTTAAAAATATCAACCAGTGTGCCGGTGTTAGTATCTGAAAACAGAGCAATTGTTTCAAATAAAAGGACAAGGCGAGACAAGAAATTACCATCCTCGCTGACAGGGAGCAAGATGACACACAGCTGACAAAAATAAGACAGGGAAGTACTATACTACAGTAACAATGATGGTCCTGATGAAAATAGTGAGTGTGTGAGTTTTTTTCCCCCCTTCATTCTAATATCTCTATTTGTGTGCTGCACTCCTAAACAGCAGGTGGAGTAGAAGTGGAAATGAAAGATTAGAGTGTGCCACCACACACTCCCATCGCCTGCGGAGGATCTAATTATAGGTGGAAGAAGATGGCCCCATCCCGCTGACCTGTCACCTGTCAGCCTGCCTATCCTCCTGCACTCCTGCCCATATCCCTGCCTCCGAGTCTCTCGCTATCTGCCTGCGTAAGACCGCACTCTTACCAAACTGTCTTCCTCTTTCTGTGCTCCAACTTTCTTTCCCAGATAGTAGCCTGCCTCCCACTCTATCCTTATACAATCTCCCGCATTGTTCTGTCTTCCTGCCTGTGTGTCCGCCTGCCTGTCTGTGTGCCTTGCTGTTCTAAAGGCTGTGATACATTGAGCCTGGCCATTGCCTGGGGGGATTTGCACCTCAGGATCAGTGAGAAGGGCTTACAGAATACACCAGGTATGAATTGCATGTCATTCTGAGACAGAGCAGACAGAAGAAAGGCGGTGAAAGGAGAGTTCTTCACACACCCTGTCTGTGACCGCTTCCTCACCCTGACACGGTGCTGGCAGGGCTTTCATGGCAAGTGTACACTCTTAATCATGACATTACATGTGCTGTACTGAGGGGGATTCACAGGGTGATTTAAGATTATTTAAGCTTAGGACCTTAGATCACATACCCTCATTAAAAACAGCTAAACAGAGACATTTAAACAAGGTTCAAATCTCGGAGGCAGACTGTCACTCCTCCACCCAAGGAAGCTGAGACTGTGATCCTCCTTACACCGTCCCCGGGGCTAGGAGGCTTTGCTAAGAAGTCAGATGTACAAACGCCCAAACCCCACCCCTTCAAATACACTCTAATGTCATCAGAACTGAAGGAAAGCCAAGTGGGGTTTGATTTAAGGGATAAAGCACATCCATCACATACGCATGGGATAAAAACAGAAGGCAGCCATTGTTTTTCATGGGAAAAAGACTAGCCGAGAGAGAAAACGACTAAACCAAAGATTCTCCCCAACATCTAATTCACATAAAATGAAAGAGTTAAAACTGGGCTGCAGTGAAATGGGACAAAACTTGTTCGCCCCAAGGCTTAAAGAGAGTTCATTAACGTGAGGCAATGACTTACCAGAAAGGCTATTAGACTCCGTTGCGTGCTCTCCCATTGAAAACAGCTTTTAATGTACTGTAACGTGTACAGAACTGCTGTGCTGATTTTTCGAACCCGATATATATTCCGGGCAAGAACCTAATGGGAAATAATTGGAACAAAACACTGGTTAGTATCATTTGATACCGGACATAATGTTTATGACTTTGCAATGAGGTTCAATCAGCTTCACTTTGCCTTATTTGCCACTAGTGAAGTTAGACTTTTAAAGCCAATTAAACAAATTAGGTTGACTATGTCCGATCCAAACTGCGACCGTGTGTAGCTTTGTTGTGGCCACTTTATTATTGGGATGTGAAGGGAGCATACTTGCAAGCCTTTTTCTTCCATCTGCTAAATTCTGCTAAAAAAAACATCAATGGTGATAACCTTTTTGGAGAACTTCTGGTTTTCCTCCATTAATTTTGCCTCCTTCGGCTGGAAGGTTTTGATACCAGCTCTGACCTGGGACAAAGAAAGAACAAAGGAAGCACTGCAGTTTAAGTACTTTTTGACTTCATGCCACAGGATATGGAACATTATCACCTTTCTAACAAGCTTGGCCATATTAAGTTTGATCCTTACTTTGTTATAGATAACCTCCAGCACCAGTGTGATGGTTCCTTTTGATGTACTTCCCAAGTTTTCTTTCTTCAAGAACAGAGATATCTCCTGTCCATTTTGCACCTTTAGAATAAAAAAAAATACCAGAATTTTTTATGTAACACCTTAACAAACTAAATCATGTCACAGGAGTAGGCGCTGATCATCAATGTTGTAGCCAAGACCACCTTAACCGAGACCGAGTCATGACCAAGACCAGTGTATCATACCTTTCACGGGTTGAGACTAAGTCAAGACCAAGACCAAGATCAGACCACTGCGGGTCCCAAATTGCAGGATAACATTCCTCTTCATTCACCTCTTTTATTGCCATACTCTACATATAAGTGTGTATGGATAAGCGTACCATGAGAAATGTCTTGATAGAATTATCTAAAGGCATTGCAGAGTTGAATTTCGATCAACTTAACTATCTTTATTCAACACTCCTTTTTTACACAGGCAATTGCGGTCTTGAGCACTCTTGAAAGAAATCCAGAGTCCTTTTTTAAGACCAAGACAAGAAGACCAGGTAAAAACGTGATTGAGTTTGAGTTCAGTAGTACCACAAAACTGCTGATCTTAAAGGAACTTACCGTCAGTAATGGAATGGCCACTTTCCCAATAAAGTTTGGGGCTTTGTCTCCATTTTCATCCAGGACAGTCAACTCTATCACATCATGAATGTCTTTAATTGGGCTGTAAACACAAGAGTTCAGAAACATTTATTCACACTAAAATATACAACACAGAATAAGACAGATGTTTTTTTTATTTTTCCAGATGTCTTACTTACAATGTAAGGGCTTTGTTCCACTCCGGATTGAGGTTCTTGTAGATTGTGTGAGTTTGAAGTTTGCTGTTACCGAGTTCAACAACACATAAAGGGTTGCTTTTTCCTGCAAATGACAAAGATGTGTTAATATTTAATGTAAAGACAAAGCCGCGACCACAAGGATAGAAAACAGAGAAGTGAATTGTTGTCACGGATTACCGTTGAGGTCTGTGGCGGGAAGATCATTTGCCTTTACAATTTTGACCTGAAGGAAACCAACCTCCCCCACACACTTGTGCGAGTTCTTTAAGCTCTGGGGAATAACAATAAAATTATTCAAAACATGGTATTCAAAACACCTTTTTACGAGCATGGTTAATAAATGTGCCACGTAAAATTGCAATCTTAACACCTGGCGTGTAACAGAATTGTATTATTGAAAATGTGCCCACCAGCATTTCATAAAATCCATGACATATTTGTATTTCTCACTGAATCAGCTGACATTACTAAATGGCAGCGGGACGTTACACCAATATTCTCTTTTGACATACAAATTTATCCACTATTGTGTCTCTCTCTTCAGGCTTTTCCAGGGTAGCTGTTTCCATGTCAGAGATGGAAACTCCCCAGCAGGGTCTCGGGGTGACCAGAAACACCAGACTGCCCTTTCCGGGGTCCAGCACATGAGTGTAGAGCTGCCTCTCATTAAGTGGAAGTCGCGATAGGTCAATCTCAAACCTGAGACACAAAAAGAAAATAGGTCCAATGAAACACATAAGGCCAACTAGTTCTGTGAAGGAGCCGATGTGAGCAAAATTAACACTACCCACCAGGAAATACTCACATCCCCCATGATTCCTCACCCTTCCTCCCTCTCTTTGAGAACACCTCCACCTGCAGAGGTTCCTGGTTATCTTCAAACTGATTGAAGTCAAACTGCTCTCTCCACTGGGGATTGGCCTGAATGCAAAGGTTCTGAGGGCAGTCAAGACACAGATTCAGCTCATACAGTAAAGTGGAAACACACACACTTTGAAGCAATGTCAAGTTTTATGCATTATCAGACTGAGCAGCTCCTGCATGACAGGTGGATTAAGTCTTCATTCAGTCCAACCAGAACAAGGCAGGAGAGGAGAAAGAGAGGTGTGTTGAGTGTGTGTGTGTGTCTCTATTTGTGTGCGCTTGTATGTGTACACCTCAGCAGCCACTCTGGGATTGTAAACACTGACAGCTTCCAATTAGAATCAGCTTTGTCCAACAAACAAACAAGCAGAGAGGAAAGCAGAGAGGTTTACAAAGAAATGACACGACAACACAAGACAAGTGCACCGTAGAATCATCAGGGGGGAGGCCAACAAGTACAGGTAGATGAACAGGGCATGCTGGGTATGCAAATGAAGGCAATGAAGCCCAGCACCAGAAGCACAGGGAGAAGTGAGTGGCAGGCTTGCCCAGTCTAATGAGCTGCCTCTGCCATGGCCCAGTGAGCCAAGGTGGAGGTGAGTCACTGACAGGCACCTGCTGAGAGAGAGAAGCGGGGAAGTAAGAGATAGGGGCTGGGAATAAAGACTTAAAGTATAAAGAGCAGACATTAAAAAGACAGAGGAGCATGAGAAAAGGGAGTGTAAGGGAAGTGGGAAAAGAGAAAGACTTTTGAAAAACAAGTCCAACCTTGCTCCTGTACTTCTGATCACCAAGGCGAAAGCGGACGTATACGTCCCCATGGCCATGCTGTGGCAGGTCCTGTCCCTGCACCAAGGTGATACCAAGCACCCCAGTCCACATCTGGTTCTTCAGATGATTCTTCTGCGTCTCAGCTGACCGCGGGGATGGCGTGGCCTGGTTCTGCTGCAGGGCAAAGATACACACAGACAGTTACGATTTAAGCTCCATGTGTGTTGAAGCTCTGAGTTCTCCCCTCTGTTTACCTGCTCCTGCCTCAGCCTGGCACCTCATCATGTTCACAGAGTGCATGAAAGTAGGACAAAGGTCCACACTATACAGCACATCTCTGTTGGAGCACATTAGCACATCTCTACTGACAGGTAAGCCACACCATGGAGGCTCCTGGAGAGCGAGGAAGAGAGGGACGTCAGCGAGCAGCCAGATGTCCCTGGCTGTGACAGTCCCACTCATCACTGGCTCCCAGACTGAGTGTGGGGAGGCAGGACACTTGGCATACTGCACAAGAGACAGCAGGCAGCAGTGAGTAATGATGCAAACCGCACAGCTCTCTCATCAGCAAATTATGCATACATGCAGCATGTATGGCCAGCATCAGAGTTTGCTGCATGTTGGTAAATTCATCCAATATTTATTTAACCAGCGAAATAACAAATTGTTTCCACCAAACTGAATCTAACATGGATGTTGTGCGTTCGAGGACTCTTTGGAAATCAAGGACAAGCCCGGCAAATAATCCACTTCTCCTGCCGTGTGTCACAGAGGGAGTGAGAGAGAGAGGCCTTGATATGTTTCCATGTTAGAGTTCCCGTGAGGCCATGCGGTGATAGGCCAGGGCTGTAAAAACAAACAGCAGAGAGGTTGTGTAGGGCTGACTGTAATTAAAGAGCAGGACCGTAATCTGCTCTAGCCTCTTTGATTGCCCAGCTCCTTCGACTGCCCCGGCGACGCTGCTTCAAACAGCCCCACTACAACTCCCCTGCCACTCCGGCCCCTCCTCTTCACTACGGGGTCACAACCCACATTGCCACCCAATCCGGAGGGGATCAAAGCACATCTCAGGGACCTGAATTAACATGGAATACCACAGGCACAGCCCTATAAATATCAGCCCCTTCAAAAGAAGAGGAACAGAGGGAGTGGAGGAGCGATATAAAACAGGCCTCAGCCAAGTCATCCCAAGTGTTTATCTTGGACACATTTCTATCTCAGCGGCCAATAAAACAATTCCACTTAACTGTAAGTGGCCCCTAAAGAGAATCTATTCCTGGTCCTAAAAGGGCTGTGCGATTGCTTCCATATGGTGGGACAGCATGGGGACAAGCACGATGAGCTCAGACCCAGGTCCATTTGGCTGGTACCTCAGCACTGTCCATCCACAGCTGTGATATTACATCCTAACATCTGGGTTATTGCCCGCTATGCCTGGGAATTATCAGCATTGCCGATCTTAGGCATCCCACACTGGCAACATGCCTCGAACAGCAGAGCCCCCCTCCCGCTTCTCCCATACGCCCCCCTCCTGTTTGAAACACTATCACACAGCAGAGTTTTACTCAGGCACTTGCCATTCCCTGTCTCTGTGGTGGTAACACAGAGGGAGAAAACGATGTTCTGAAAGAGGGGGAGTGGAGCTGCAAGAGCTGGGTATTCAGCACTTCCAGGATAGGTGTTAAATGCAATAAGATATTGTACGTTTGTCAAAAATGAAATGGGAAAAAAATGGCATTGTTACATTGTTAAATTAGCACTGTGATTTAGGCAGCAGAACATTGTGAAGAGTCCCATCACACATTTCTGTCTCCCTTTGAGTATCTTTAACCATCTGTAGTGGATAACCTACAATGTGTATGAAAATGGCTTCATTCCTTTGTCATCTAATTTCAAATTGAGATTGTCTACTGGACCATCAAGAGACTGAACAGTGGCAGATGTAGTGAGTACATAGGTGTGAATATAAACCCACTCGCTGCAGTGTGAGTCCCAAACAGCAACCCTCCTATTTCACTCTGAATCTAATTACAGCTGCAATATATTGAAAACCACTTGAGAGAAGATGGAACTTTGTTTACTACAAAACCAAATACTGCTCTATAATATTCATCTAAGGGCTCTTTCATGACAACGTATTCAGTCAATATTATTATTTTGGTTTTGATCAGAATGCAATATTGTACCGTACTTTTTTTTCCACAGCAAATGATACCACTGAAAATAATATGCATTGCAAAAAAGGTTCACTATGAAACCACAAAAGAAATAGGCTGTGCTGAAACCAAGGTTACACACAAAAGCCTGAGTCCTGAGCGTACACCTCATGCTTTGTTGCACCATAGTACAGTGAGCTACTGCCCCCTAGTGCTTCAGATCAGGGTAACCGTGAGTACTGCCATGCAAAAGATAAAGTTGAACTCAGGAATATGTATGGCATTCTGGATACAATTTGGAAATCAGATTAAAAAGTAAATGTAATGATGTAAAAATCCATACCTGTTTCTTTCTTTGTGGCCATCTCTGTGGAAAAAATACATTAGTCAGTACATACAATTCAGGGAAGAACAGGAACAGAGTATTAAATACTTCTCATATCAGAAATACGCTTACCGGGGGCCTTTTGACGGTGGCATCTCTAAACATCAAGCAGACTTCAACAACAATAAATCCCATGTCATCTTCTTTACTTTTTGGATCATCAAGACGCACCTCCATTTCATAGGTTCTGTGAAGAAAGGACATTAAGATTGAAACTGATGATCACTACTGGATATCCCTGTGATAATGCATTCACTTAAGTATAGAATTAAAATATATTACTCACCTGTACAAATCAAGATTTTTAAGAGAAATCATGCCGGAACCCATGAACTCATCAGCAGTCCGATTTTTATCGTAGACCTGCAACATCACAAACATCATCAAGATTATGAACAGAAATTGTGTGTTTTGGCACAAAGCTTTTCTTGTATCATAAGAAAATGCACTTATGTTCAAACAAGCAATGCCTACCCGAACTTCCACGTCATGCTGTCTGTCTCGAAGAGGATGGGAGAAGGACTCATTCCACCGTGGATTCAGGCTTTTATAAACCACTTTGCTTTTATAGAACTGTTTTCCTTCAAGTTTGAACTTCACGTAAGGATCACTGGTCCCTAAAATTAAATAGAAAAAAAGAGCAATTCAGCAAAATTATTTTGCGTGACACATGAGGTTAAGTACTGTAAGTATGAAGTTACCACACAACCACACTGTATAGACATTGATGATTTACATGGCAGTTCGTCTTGAAAATTAGTTATTTAATCTATTAAACTGTAACTATCAAATTAAAACTATGTTCAGTTTTGGTGGAACATACTGTCACTTTAAAGATGTACACTGTGTATTAAAACACACACATGACCACACACATATTACATACACACCCTTCCCCCATGCTGGTCGTGTGAGAGACTGAAATATGTGAGGAGGAGGTGCACCCCACACATGGCAAAAACAGAGGGATGTAGCTGTTTAATTGTGAAAGAGTAGAAACACTCGCCAGCATGAGGCAACCAGAAACCAAAATCTAGAAGCAACCAGTGTTAATCTCCCAAGCCTGTTAAGAAAGTCTGTCTGCGAGTGGGGTGGGGGTATGGGACTTCTTTGTTTCTGCAATTGCATGCAGATTGGCCAAAAAATGAAAGCCAGTCCCATGCCTTCATTTGTATAGGGGAATAAAGGGGTGCTTGAGAGAGCCTGCAGGGAGGCTTGAATCACATGACAAAGGCCCTGTGGGGATGGGCTGTCAGGCCTGTCAGCTCCCCACTCCAAATGAACATCTCGCAAAGGCAGGCAGGACCCACAGCAGCTCCACCCTGCCAGCCTGTGACAGGGAAACCTCCAGGCAACTTGACAGGAGGAGAATGTGGCAGCTAGCAAGGAGAAAAGCTCTGGCATGACTGAGAACGGTGACGATGGAAATTAATGGGAAAAAAGGGGAGAACAAAAACCAAGGAGTGGGGGCTGGTGGTGTGGGTCCTTTCAGAATATGTAATGACAATGTATGCCATTGGTGAGCCTTTGGCACGGTGTTGATTGTTGGGCAAACAGTGGAGAGACAGGGGGCGTGTGGGGATTGCATCATCATGGTGCCATCTTGTCAGGGAAAGTAAGGTCTCAACTAGCAGGGAGTAGGGCACTGGGCTCGGAGGGTCTTCTGGCACCAAGCAAGAAAAAAAAAAACAGCTAAGCATCATTCCAAGAAGGAAGTCCTTGCGCCGTTTCAATGTGAGGTAATTTCCCAAAGCTACAGGAGCTACAGCAACAAATCATATTGGTTAAAAGTACAGAATCACCTAAGGTATAAATTTTCAAATCCATAAGATTTATGTAGTTTTGATAAATGTATATATGGATAGATATGTCACCATTTTCTACTTTAAAATGTATCTATTAATTTAAAATTGCCAATTTCAACTATTATTTTTACTATGAATAAAATTAATCATTTAAGTCCATAAAATTGCCATACAAATACTGTCAGTAAATAGCCACACTTATTGAGACCACACATGCATTTTTCTCATGTTGTAGTTCCATCTCTGGCCACCGGGTGTCACTGCTTTCCCAAAGCAAACTCTACTGAGTCTGGGCCTCAAGGAGAGAACAAGATGTGTGGAAATCTGTATTACACACATCTTCTGTCTTTCCCTCTCTCACAGATCAATATCATTATCAATGGATAATCAGATCTTAAAAGATCATCCACTTATGAAAACAAAGTCATTCAAATGTGATAAATCTAAACGATCTAAGTTTATGCTTGATTTTATACCTAGATATGACAAGCAAATTACAGATCCAAAAGCACTGCATTAGGTAAATTATATTAATAAAAAATGTTTTACAAATAATATAGCTTTAACACTACATCAAACATCAACAAAATATTTTGCCAGAAAAATGTAATTTCTAAAAACAATTACAATTTGTGGGGTAAGTAAAAACAACTCTTCCTCTTTAAAAGCTATGAGCCTGTAGCTCATAGCTTTTAAACAACTCTTCCTCTTTAAAAGCTATGAGCTACAGGCTTTGTTTCAACAAAGCCAATCAACTGTGAAGAAGAGCTCTGAACATTTGATTGTCAAATAAATTTCGCAAAGAATCCAATACCATTTAAAATCAACTGTTTAAATAAGTTCTGTGCTCTCATGTCCACATCGTGTGTTCTCTTTAATTACTCAGTACTTTATCCCAGTCTATCTTTTGTCATACTGGTCTGACTGCATACTTCTCCGGTGTGTTTTTTTTCCCTTTGCACATGCACCACTCGACAAGCCGCGTCATCCGTACAAGTAAACACATGCATTAACTGAACACAGCCCATCATGCCTTTATACACAAAAACAGATTTCTCATTTACAGCTTTCCACATTGTCATTGGCTCATAAATACAGATAGATAAACGAGATGCATGCGCATGGTATGTGTGTGCAGTATTTTATAGAGAGCTCACCCTTTAGCTGTACCCACAAGCCAAAACACAAAGACCTGCATTCTTTTAAGATGTACAAGAAATCTGATTGGGCATCTTTTGATCTGTGCTGATCCACCCAAGTGTTTAAAAAAAATCCCACATTAAAAAGAACAGTTTGATGTTAGTTATTATCCTCTCAAGATCTAAGTGAGACAGTGACTTAGTCTTACAGGTTGTGAAAAGTCTTATGGATCACCAGCAGGATGTTGACCTACCGGAGCGTTTGTCTCGGATGACCAGGTTCTTTCCCTGCTTTAGGTTGATGTTCAGGAGGTATCGCTGGCACTGGGTAGGTACTTGGACATCAGGCCCTGTCGTCACAACCTGCTGTGGGAACATTTACATTTATATGCTTTCTCATACCAGATGCTTGGCTTATTTCAATGGGCAGGGCAGTCCAGTGAGTACTCACAGTGCTTTCCAGAGGATCTTGCATCATTTCATCGAAAAACTCAGATGGTTCACTGGACATCTACGTTGAAAAAAGTTGTATATTTTATGAACCACCACAATGCAAACACTTTATATAATACAGTCAAGCTGAGATGTCTAAGTGTATGTACAGTTTCTGGGTCCACATGGTATTTGTCGATTCATGTCACACATTCTCACTCCCAACTCGTCAAGTACAGATGCTTAGTCAGTGGCACTACACGTCAAAATACAATGTGCTAGGTACTCCTTCAGTGTTCAGAACGTTCAGTGACAGCATGTCAATTAACATTTGTTATGTGCAATGTGTCTTTTCAAAAATTAACTCATAGGACGTACAATTTCTGCTTGTTAAATGCACAGAGTCTCTTCTCAAAATTAACCTTGAACACTGGTAACAAAAAACAAAATTGCCTTTAGGTTTAGCTCCTTAGGTGTAGGCAAGATTAGATCACAATCGTCACTAGCATAGTGTGCTACACAAACTAGCATGCTACATTGCTATTGCTGCCAGGTGAAAGTATGGAGTTTGTCTGACCCAACCACCTCCACTCCCACCTGCCCTATGTGGACTATTTCCCTGTTTATACTACAGAGTGTCAAAAAATGCCACTGCTTAAGGGTGCCTTGTTGCATCAGTGTCTAACGCCAAGGGTCAGTGACCAAGCATTGGTATCTGACAAGTTGGGAGTGAGACTGGGTTGCTTTCAATTAAAAAAATTGTGTTTATCCATTTCAAGCGACAGAAAAGTATTTGTCATGACTTGAGATAATGTCCTTTAGGGACCCCACCAATGGACTACAGTATGTAAATAATGCCCACAGCAGGAAAAAGTGAAAGGCAAAGTGAGATATCATCAGTTTCTTTGTGTATTTTTTGTACAGCTCTCCACGGTACATTGTGTCTCCAACTAGTAACGCAGGTTTTTAACTGGTATCTCAGAGGCATCTAGACAAAAGAGTACATAATAGTCTCGGTTTCAGCGTTACCCACGGGCTGTAAAAAGCCAAATCCCATGTGGTCGCTTTACATTTAACACCAACCATCAGAGGATGCTTTTGATATGTAGCACCTGTAGGCTGAATGGTTACTGTCACAATGGGTATATATAGAATACACACACTGTCTTAACTGTATGTCAGTGCCACAGGGATGAAGTGTAATAAAACCACAAGCCTAAGCTCGGGCTTAGAAAAGGAATGTCGATTTCATGCCATTCACCGTTTTACAGGCCGAGGAAAACTCTGAGCATAACAGCTGAAGTGTGTGAAAAACCAAACCACACTATTTGAAAGTCAAATGAAAGCATGCAAATATGACCGATGTGAGAATATATTACGTTATTGACTAGAGCACTAGAGCTTGCATACTTTTATCTAATTCCTATGAGATAAACTCTTTCATCTAAGTTTCTACAACAGAAGGGGCTCTAAAAGTTAATGTATATGCACAGGATTTAATTTGTTTGGATTTCCATCTGTTTGATTTATCACCATAAAAGGAAATGACTAATTTGAAATCTGAATACAAATTTCAAATAACATAGTCTTCATTACATGTAGACCTGAAATAAGTCTAGGATTGTTTGACTATACATGTAATTAAATACGCTTGTAATAAAACTGACCTCTGCGATATCTTCCAGGGCCTCCTCAGCCTGGGTTTCTTCTAGCAGAGCTTCTTCCATGGAGTAGTCTCTCATCAAAAAAGGAGAGTAGGGTTCTCGGTCCAGTTCCTCCTGCTCTGTCACCCAGGACATGAAGACTTGCTCCTCGAAGGGACTGCCACAGGCAGAGTCCAGAGAGGTACCATCTGCATTCTCTAATGGAATACCCAGATTATCTAATGTGAGAGACATATCTGTAGGAGCATTTGCTCTGGTTACTGGTGGAGTTCCTTTTTCAGACGATGGTTTTCTATCTGCAGGAGCATTTGCTCTGGTTACTGGCGGAGTTCCTTTTTCAGATGATGGTTTTCTATCTGCAGGAGCATTTGCTCTGGTTACTGGCGGAGTTCCTTTTTCAGATGATGGCTGTCCATACTCAAATAATGTGGTCCTCTTTTCTGTGGAAGGGTACATTTGTTCTCCCAGCGAGCTTGCTCTGGCCAGAACTGCAGAAACATTCCCTGAAAGCACTCTGTCAGCTGGGATATCTTCACTAGAGACACTGGCTCTCTCTACGTGGTCTGGTCTTGGGGAAAGTGCATTGGTAAAAACCGATCTTGGTGCAGGAATAGGTTCAAAAGGAAATTTTGTTGCATTCCCTTTGGCCCTTTTATCAGGTTGAGCATACAAGCCTTCTGAAGTCATGTTCACCTTGTTCTGTGAGGCTAAATTCATCATATCATCAATTTCCTCATAAAGGCCAGGTGTCCCCGCTGGGGCACTTACTCTCTTCAAAGCAGCAGTTGTGCGATCTGTGGGACCGTGGAGTCTAATTTCTGGGACTGAATCGTTCAGTCTGTCTGTGAAGTAGGGTCCATCACCGATCGAGCCACTTGCAATAGAATCAGTATCACTCTGACCAGGGGAATGGCCAAAGAAGATGGCATCATTGGGAGTGTACACCAAGGCGTTGTCTGTAGAGAATGCTCCACCTGGCACAAAGCTTAGGTCTGGTACAGAAATACTGCGCCGGTGGGCCAGGTTTCTTCCTTGTTTGGCAAGGGCCTTCTTATTTGGCTTCTTCAGGTTGCCCAACTTAGTTTTCAGACGCAAATTTTCCAAGAAGGTCTTTTTCTTGACATCCATCTTGAGTGACACCTTTGAAAAAACAATGAAAATTGTGAGATAAAGATCCTTTGTGTAACTTGTGTAAATGCTTAAGGCAATGCAGCAAGGTGTCCTATTAGCAGGAGACTCAGTCCATGGAAATGATATACACTGCAATAGTTCAATGTGAAATGTACTCAAGATTACCACTGATTAAAGGGAAACTTTATTTCTAAACCGTTATGTTTTTTTAGCCTGAAACCCATGTATCTGTGTCTAAGTGTCAAATGGAGAGAACAATTTTTGAAACTGTCCCAGTACTAAGAGAGATCACTGAAACCGCAGAACAGGTTGCAATGTTAGTGTGTTTGTTAGTGTACACTGTTGACTCACATCCATTTAAGGAGCTTGTTTTTGCCAGTGACAGGCTCAGATTGTTATTAGAAGTGTCTGACAGCGTTAACAAAAGACCAGATACTTAAAATAACAATCTGAACCTGCCAGTGGCAAAAACAAGCACTTTTAGTGGATGGAAATTGATTGTGCAAAATTTGCTAAATTGTTGTCTCCATGAGTCACTTAATCAGAAAAACATGGGAAAATAGGTTCCAGTTTAAAAAATACTAACTTTCCTTTTATAATTAAACACATCACTAAAATAATGTCCCCTATACTCCAAAGTTTGACCAAAGAATATACCTCTGAACATACATACATTACAGTGGCCCTGAGGGTCAAAACACAACATTTCACAAAATACTACAACACTAGTCCATACCCATTGGTAGCTTTGTCACCTTCTACCTATGCCAATCCTCAATGCCTATGTGCAATTTCACATAGACTGACCATGTCAGTGAGAAGAAAAACGTGGGACAGGCAGAATGACTGACTGACAGAATGACACACTGACAGTTTCCGTGATTATGTACAGCATACCATACCATGACTTAGTCATACACAACATTTGTCCACAGGGGGAGCCACAGCGATCGGTCGCATTTTAGTCATTTTTAAGCATTTTTCTTTTGTTATAGCGCCACCCAGTTGCCAATTAGAGTTGCATTCCTCCAGTCACCTTGAGGCGTCCTGTTCTACATATCTACCAAGTTCAGTAAAAATCAATATGGCAGTTAGGCCTAGATAAAAAATTAGCTCTCTAGCGCCCCCATTTTGTTTGATGGGGTCAATAAAGGAGGGGTCCCCTCAGATTATGTGTGGTCATATGTCTACAAAGTTGCGTGGTGATCGGTGAAACCCTTGAGATGTTATACACCTTTATGTGATGAGCCACGCCCTCCGCAATATTCATTGCCTTATAGAAGCTCAGTTTTAGTAAGCTTTCCAACTTTTGCCAAGAGGGAACTTTAGATATTGGTCCCTAGATTATGTTCACCGAGTTTCATTTAGCTCGGTCAAACTTCCTAGGAAGAGATTGATTTTAAGTGTTTTTCAAAAAATTCAAAATGGCGGAAAATCTATACAACTGGAAGTTATGGGTTCTTGAGGAAAATTTGTTCCTCATGAGGAGAGGCATCTCTGTGCAAAGTTTCATGTCTCTATGACATACATGGCATGAGATATGCCCATTAAAAGTTTGCAATTTCAATCGGTTGCTATAGTGCCCCCCTTTGGCCAACTGATGTAATATCGCCTCATTCGCATCCTCCCATGACCCTCTACCACTGTGCCAAATTTCACATGGATTGACCATGTCAGTCAGGAGAAAAATGTGGAACAGAGACACAGACACACCCACAGACAGAGTTTTCATCATCATATAGTAAGATTTCAGAAATTAATACAACATTTGGTGAGACTCAAACTAGAAAAGGTAGGTACTACTGGACAATGATTCCTTGTCGCTTACTGGATGTTCTATCTGTCAGTCTGCGACAAACGTACGTACTTCTTCTGTTTGATTTCTGGTGGTCTGGATGCTTTGCAGCACATTGCTGTCTCTCACAGCTTGGGATAATACAATAAAATAAAACTTTATCTATTCCTAATGGGAAATCGATGTTTAACAGTCTGCAGTGTGCATAGCTGCTACGCCGCGGTTCTTTTCCGCCAAACTCCCGGACTATGGGACTACTTTTGCTGTGAAGAGAGCGGCCGGCACCTGATGGTCTGTCTCCAAAGCCGCTCTCTGCTTTACTCCTGGCTAAGTAGTCTCATAGGCAGGAGTACGGTGGATGGATGTTGGGATTTAGTACAGTCTCATGACTAATGATACAGTAGCTTGGAAAAAAGCAACATGGACCACTGAATTTGAAGAATTTGCGCCGTATGATAGATCGCACTACTTTTTTTTGCCAAGTCCCGCCCTACGATATTGTCAAAAAAGGCAGGCAAAAGTCCACAGCTCCACATCCAGGGGTATGTGGATGCTAACAGGATGGAGGGAATGGTGGTGGGGAGAAATAATTATAATCTGAAAGAAATGGAGGCATTTTAAACATTTAGTGAATCAAATTCAACAAAAAAATCCTCAACAAAACATTTGTATGTCATGTAAACTATGAGGTAAAATTTGTGTTTCTGCAAAGGGAGTGTGGCTACTGTGGAATGGGGGCCGCATAAAAATGTGACACCAATTTAAGCATATGCTGTATTTAGAATATTTTCACTGCTTCACCTTGCTGTCAGGCACCCATTTACAGTGGGAAACTGATGGTGTTATGTTATGCTCTCCTCAAAGCCAACAGACTATATTGGCAGAAACAGTCATTTTACTCCACGACACACAGTGAGTCTTTGGTCTACCGCTGCCCCTCGATCAGTTAGTTAGTTCGAGTTATTGTGTGACTTTAGGTACCGACTTAACCATGCTGCTTCTCTTGTCTGCCTGTCCAAAGTGGAGGCTTAAGATTGAAAACACACAATTCTCAATGACGGGGCAATCACAAGGACGCCCATTGACATCCTCCCTAAAGCTCGTCCTACGCCTGCTCCTGGCCCAGCTGGTGCCTGCACCATGCTGCTGTGCAAAAGGAGAGATGGAAATAACGTTGCTAAATCTAGCGTGAAAGTCACCAATTTGGCAACAAGTTAAGGAGTAAACAAAGTTTTATTTAATCTTATACACTCGACTTGTAAGAGACAGGAATGTGCCACAAGGCATCCAGTCCACCGGAAATCAAACGGAAGATGTACCATAAAAATTCAATCTAAAGCCCAGTCCCAGTTAAACACATCGTCCCTTTTTACTAGTCCACTGTGGCTACACATTTTGACAAATAAACACCTGTCTCATTTAGATGCCTAGTCTGGTTGCCAAGCAGTTCTTTATTTGTATATTGGTTCTTGGGGTGTATAAAACTGGGTTGTTGGCTTATAATATTTTTGATACATTACCTGAAGCCAAACAAGTAATGTTCATACTGGTTTAAAAATACAATTTGATTATATTTCCCGGTCTTTGTTGAGCAACAGTTTTGTGTGAAAGAAATTAAAGGCCTGTCCCAAATATAGGCCTATTGATTTCAGTGATTTAAGCAAAAAGCCCAGGCTATTAATTGAAGTTACACAGTACTTCTGTTTGTCACAGACTGACAGACAGTGCATCCCAGGGAGAACAAGGAATCAATCAATAATTACCTTTTCCAGTTTGAGTCACACCTAATGTTTTGTTTTCTGTAATGTTGTGGTGGTTAATTGTTTTGGTGTTTTTTTAAATGTTGTAGCGTTTTCTGGAATTTTGTAGTGTTTTCAGAAATGTTGTAGCTCTTTGACCCTCAGGGCCACCGTATACTTCCCTGTCCACATTTGTTATCTTGTCTAACACTTTGGCTGGAATACTATCTTAAGTAGTAACACTTCAGAGGATTTGATTTCATACACAGACAATAGTAAAGACATCTATATTGTTTGTCTGCCATCTGAATCTGTACTTGGGCCAATTTTCCATCTTCATCTACTGTAATAAAACACAAACATTGCCTATCCATAACTAAATCAATCAGCTAAATCAAAAGTAGGTAGCAATACAGTATCAAGTACAGTACAGTATCAAAGACAAATCTCACAATAAATGCCAAGGTCTAATGTCTTATCTGTCAAACAATTCTAGAATAAATTACTTCACTACCTACTGACTTTTTTAGTGTAATTTAGAAAACAAAAACATGATACCATACCTGTCCAGTCGACCTCTGCCAAACAGCTTGAAAAAGCCACTCACTGGATCAGTCTCCACCGAGAGCAGCAGTAAATTTCCAGAGAGACAGCACAACCATCATAACAATGATGTCAAAGGGGAAGTGTTTCAGGCAGCCCAACTTGTGGCAAGTTGAGTTAGTGCCCATTCCTGCTCCAGAACAACTTTGAAGGCAGGTGATTGGTGGAGAGGAAGAACTGGGCGAAACAAGCCATACCAGTCTCACAAGGTGAGTTTCAACGACTATGGGAATGCCGCAGCTGAGTGATGAGTCCTACTTAAGTTTAATGTATTAGATGGAGCTATACAGAGTAACTTCAGTTGAGTGGGGTCAGAAAAAAACTCATGACAAATAGTGAGTATATTCAGACACTGTAGCAAGAGATAAAATACACACTGAGGCATCAAACTACAATGAAACAGTTCAGCTCACAGTACAGCAAGTTTAGCAGCCTGTTTATTCCCTGCCTGTCAGTCTGTTTATTGTTGATTCGAATATTTATTTGCATTTGAGGGGCTATTTGTCTGTTTTAAGACTTGTATGCATTACATTTCCTCTAATGTGCGTTCTCTTATAGCTCCAAGTATTTGAGAAAAATGCTTAATTCCATAATCTATCCTAATTCTACAATACAACTGTCCTTCTTATCTGTCCAAAACGGTCCCAAAATACTGCTGATGGATTCTACAACATGACTGAGGCATATGAAATGTTGGCTATCTGTTCGTCTTATCTCATCTCTGATCTTCAGCACGAATCTGGCAGTCGGCGGCCGCGTTGTCATACCAAACTCCATTCCTCTCACACAGCCCCATATTTGTTTACAGTGGAACATGGTTTAGCCTAAGCTCGTCAAAAGTGAGCATTTGTGTTTGCAAAGTATAAACTATAGCTTTATGTCCACACATCGAAGCTAATGCAACAGACCCACTGGTGTTCACTCTCTCTCTCCTTGTCTGTGCCTAACACTGGAGACTATATGACAACAGATGTGTTTGAGTCTGGACTGAGTCTTGTTCAATATTTGCTGATGTCTTAAGGAGATCAGGCCCACATGAAAGAGCCCCAACTTGGCTCCCAGTTGAAAGGCAGGGCTGGGGATCTGAACAGGGCAAGCCCCTATGGCAGGTGGCCTGTCGCCCTTCTTCTCACACAACTCAAACAGCCCAAAACCCTGCTTGGTTACTCTACACATGCACACTGGACCTGTTCCAGCCTGCAGCACAGCTGGTCTGATGGACAGGAAGCCAAGAACATGCACTTGGGGACAAATATACTGAGTGATGCACATGCAAGCCTTCACACGGAAAACAACCATGAAAGATTGAGGATGTCAGCTACACAGCTGACCTAAAACCCTTGTTTGTCCCAGCGTTTTATGTTCTGCTACTAAATTTAAACTCAGTTAAAATTAGTAGTTGTACATAAGAGCAGCAACACCACAATGTACAGAAGGCAAACAAAGCCCAGCATTCAAAATTTAATGTAAAGAAACAACTGTAGATAGGAAATTGTACTTTTACACCAAAAGTAAAAGTACTTTAAAGAGTATACTTTGGAGCCTCTAACCCCAACTTATCAGTGCTACTTTTGGGGAGTTTCCACGTTAGCAAATGCATCATGTTTCATAAGTATTCGAGATGTTTCTCACCTTTGAATTCAATGCACATTTACCTACAGTTGCCTTTGTTAACGCTACAGTTAACCTCGCATAAATTGTGATGCTTTTGTTTTTGACATAGTGAATCTTAGCTGCCATATTCATATTAAAAATACACTTCTTTCATTAAACAGACCGACTAACAGCTTAGTTAAGCTAGGTTAGCGTTAACCTCAGTGTTTGACCAACTTACCTTGACCTCGGCTAACAAGGTGCACCAACAGGCCATCATCCTACAGCTCTCTGTAATGCTTTGTGTTACAGTGCCTCCTACCGGCCAGACTGTGGAAATACACTCTTCCTGCAAAACTGCTCTACAAGAGAAATATCACTAGATGTCCCCTGTGAAACACTTTGCTCTCAACTGTTTGTTTCCTGCATTTTGGCCTGTACAGGTATCCGTATTGTATGCAGTCCAAAACGAGCTCAAAGACTGATCCAAAAGTTTTTAAGGCCAGCTTCAAAGTTACAAATAAATCCTCCAGCTTTAGATAAGTGCTGCTGTCACAAGTGGTGAAAAGTGACTAAATGGGCTACAATTACTCAAAACACTACAAGTACAATTTTTAGGTACTAAAGTAAAGGTGTTTCCATTGATAATGATGAAAATATAGGGTGTGCTGCACTGGGTCAAGAAACTAGGTGTTGGTGATCATAAATAAATTAATAAATACAATTTAAAAAAAAAATAAATCAGGTGCTCTTCGAGAATAAGGGAAGCAGTCAAATAAAATTATGATTGTAAAACCAAAACAGGTGCTCCTCAATAATGAGGCAAATACTCAAATAAAATAACAAACAATGACTGCCCAGTTTCCTTAATGCAGAAGTCCACAGTATAGGCTGGCAGCCTGAAAAGCATCCGGGACACTCTGATTGTTGGTATACAAAAAAACCCTTAAATACATGGATGACTAACTCATTTTGACTTACAGTAAACACTAGGGGACTTTTTTTTTTCTTTCAAGGGGACACTACTTAAATGCTACCTGACCCACATAACATGACCTCTTGATGAGTTTGAGATTGAATTCCTGTCCCCAATAAGTACAATTCTGAGGCACTAAAGTAAAAGTATTTCCATTGATAATGATGAAACATAGGGAAGTGCTGCAGTGGGTCAAGAAACCAGGTGTTGGTGACAGGTGCTCTTTAAGAATAAGGTAAGTAGTCAAATTAAAAAACAAAAAAAAACAGTGACTGCCCAGCTTCCTTAACACAGAGGTGCATGGTATAGGCTGGCAGTCTGAACACTCTGATTGTTAGTAAAAAAAACAAAGAAAAACTTAAGTAACACACAAATGACCATCACATTTCAACTTAAACACTGGTGCAGGGGTGTCAAACTCAGTTTACGGGCCACATACAGTCCGATTTGATATCAGGTGGGCCAGACCAGTAAAACCACTGGATAACGTCCTGTAAATAACAAATGCCTCCAAATATTTTCCATTTTTTTTCTTTAAAGAAGTACATGTTGAAAATGCTAATCCAATCACAAAACTGATGACAAACAGCCTGTGATGTCTTCACAAGAATAAATGCAATTTCAACAATATTTCTCAGTTTTTCCACATTCAGTCGACTACTCACTGTCATCGAATGTACATTTTCTGTACATTTCCACTCCTGTGTAATAATCCTGACAACACCACACTAGACTAAGTAAAAGAAAAGAAGTGCATTATTTTATCTTATTTTATTTTTTATTGTATAGCTGTTATTTTATTTTTTTTTTTTTACAAATGTCTTAATTTATTTTACTTGTATTTTATGCCTTGTGTGAGCTGTTTTGTCTTTTATTTATTGTCTTTTATTTATTCTTCTGTACAGCACTTTGGTACTCTGTGGTTGTTTTAAAGTGCTTTACAAATAAAGTTGGATTGGATTGGATTGTGGTCAGGGGAGAAAAGCCTCTGAAGCAGCATTTTACACAAAGAAAGCTACTCAAGGTTTAACTTGCTCCCAAAACGTGGCACCTCTTAGCCTTCACAAGTGCATCACTATTAGGTGTGCAAGGTCATCCGGTGGGCCGGATTGGACCCTTTGGTTCTGGCCTCCGGGTCATATATTTGACACGTATGCACTAGTGAGGTTTTTTTTTAAAAGGGACACTACTTAAATGCTTAATTACCCACATCATGTGAGCTTTTGATGAGTGTTAGTCATCCATGAATAAATAAAGGATTTTTACTGACCATCAGAGTGCCTGAAATGCTTTTCAGACTGCCAGCTACACCGTGGACTTCAACATTAAGTAGGCTGGACAGTCATTATTTTTTATTTTTAAAAAGTATTCCCATTTTATGATACTTTATAGCCTATTTTAGTACACTACATTTTAGTGGGAAATATGTTCTTTAATGTCACACTTACTTTGCAGAACTGCCCAACCATATACTGTCAAAATCAGTTCAAATTAGCTACAATAACCAAAATCTGCTTAAACGATTCACAATAGTAAAATAATTTATATTACACTCATAATGGGAACCCTTATTTTTTATATTCTGATAATACAATTATACTTTAACTTAAGACAGACTGTAAATGCAGGACATTTGCTTGTAGTGAAACTGTTTTCATACAGTAGTATACTGTACTTTTATTCACTTCCACCACCGCTGGCTGCCACAGTGCACTGACCCATTCATCCAGCATGTATAAAACCCCTGTACTAAATCAAGCAGCACTGTTTTGGGATAAACATTTTCAGTGTGGTGATTGCATTACAGTATTTCATCGAATGTTCTTACATTAAGTCACTGAGTTAAAGGTTTGTACAGCATTATGCAGTGAGTATCACTGTGTGGCAGACGGCAGCAGAGGCCTCAGTGTACTGGCTGATGCATGCAGTGAATAAAATGCAACGGATGAATAGACATGGAGTTCAGATTGAGCATACACTGAGGTGTTTAATAAAGTTGACAGTTTCTACTGTTTGGGACTTCACATGAGAACAAATTCTATGTAAGAGTTGTTTACTTCATTTTATACAGAATAAGAGAGATAACCTAAATTACACATTAAAAGCCAATATTTGTACTTTTGTGAAGAATACAAATTTTGTACAACAATATCTAGCATAGTATCTTAATTGTTTAATAAAAAGTTCACTTGAATATTTATTGTATGATGAAAATAAAATAACACATTCAAGGGAAAGAAAAAAATGTAGATTAACTTAAAATCTCTTTCGATTTTCAAAACAAATAATGTCATCATTGGCAACAAAGTCCAGCTTGTGCCGCCAAACGGTCTGAGCGCTCAAACCGAAAACAGCTTCTTCAGTTAAGTGAACTATCAACTACAAACACTTACCAAACACATAGTTCTGTTTATAAAAGCCATGAAGCAAAGCAGTGTACTCTTACACAGCAAAGTGAAGAAAGTCCTCTACAAAGGTTCATTGATTACCCTTTCCTTTCACATTCATCAGTTGTGCACAATTTGGACATAGACCAAAAGAGCAAAGTGTATCACGGTGCATTCACTGTGCATTTTCTTGTGTGGGTCTTTTCTGAGAAGAGGCAGGTCTGGTCAAGTTTGAATGATATCTGCATTGTCTATTTTTTTTTTCAAACCGAGAGAAAATAAAAATGGTATATATAATTTTTCTTTGGGATAAGGCATTTCCTAACTGTGCATATAGATAGACAAACTACAAAATTCCCTGATATGTCATCAAGTGCTAAAGTGTGCTCAACTACGAGGTGGTGCTGCCGAGACAGGCAGACTGTTTTTTAGTTGTAGTCATTTATTATTGCTATTTTCACCTGCTGTGTTAAACTGGATTACATCATGGATTACTATACATCATGTAAAGTGTGTCTACCAATGTGTATGAACATGAAGAGATTGCCCCTGGGTATCCAAATCAATCATATAATGTATAACTTGTAGCAACCTCCAGATGCGGCACTTCAGGATAAGAGTCTAACAGTCAATCCTCAGATGCTCTTCTTCCTGATGCTTTGTGGACTAAATGTGTCCTTTAATGACATCATACTCCGTGTGTGAGTTGGGGCTACAACTGCATAGATCATTATATATATTGAGAACTATCATGGAGTGGATGATGGGGGCGAAGGAGGAGGCTCAGGAACACACACAAGATATGTCACGGCGAATGCAGGGCGATACCTTTCACGTACAGCAAACTTCTCATACAAATGTGTGCAATCCAGCAGTGAGATTGAAGTCGATGACGTTGCGTTGTTATGAATTAGCTGAATTATTTGCTTCTGTGATGATGGAGAAGAAACAAGTCACAGCCCCCTTTTTTTTCTCCCTTATGTCTGCGCACGGTGCGATAACAGCGTTGCAACACCTTACGTGTACACGACTTCAACGCCTTCGGATTTTCTGGCTCCTAACGTTCCTAGGCCTATAGTAGTCTTACTAGTAATAGGGCATTGATATACGATACAATTTCTGAGGCCAAATTAAGGAAACACATGAGTATTTTTGTACATAATTATGACTGTCTGCGATATTTACAACCACATATGAGCACAGGCATGATCAGTTTTGTGTGAAGGTCAGCAGCCACTTCTACCACACTCACGTCTTCTGCTTCAATTCAATGAACCAATAACAGGATAGTGGAAAGGGCTCGCGAGATGGCATGTTTTTCAGTTGAGCTACATGCAGTAACAATAGATTATTCTTCAGTGTGGGGCTGGGACCTTGGGTTTGAATGTTGGCAGTGTATTCAGCAGCTGCTGGTATACAACTACAATAGGGAGGGAAGAAACCCTATTTCCCCTAGCCTTGTGATCATCCTTCACAAATTTGAAAAAAAGTGGAACTTCAACCTCACAGCATTGTTGTTACAATGTCTTTTAGGACAAACAGTCATCACTAATAAAGAGAGGGAAAGAAAAACAAGTTGACCATCTGGAACTGAAACACATGGGATGTCATGTTGATGATTCAATTTGGAGGAGAGTACAGTAAAATGAACAAAATAGTAAATATCGACCAGTGAACGATCTACTTTTTTTTTAAGGGTCTACACTTGTAAACTTGGCTGTAATCCACAAAAATATACTTTTCTTGAAAACGGCGGTCCGTACGGTACATTCAGCACGCACTCCCACCCTGGTGATATATATTAAAGTCGCTATTTACACAACAAAAGAAAAATGTTTGGCTCAAATTATCAATTGTACAAACAGAACAGCAAAATGTTCATGGCTTTAGATATCGATTCAAGATCTGGTTTACACGACTTTACACCGTCTGCGATAAAGCACGATACAAAATAAAAACTATGATGAACGATGGTGCGTTTGAGTGAGCTGTTAGGAAACCGTAGCAACTGTACAAAAACAACACAAAAGAACAGCTTTGGCTTATATTACTGATGAACTGTTACACAAATGTGAACATGTTGATTTTCTCACCAGTTCAACTGGACAGGTTCGCATTATCTTAATTGCACATTTATATATCCTACTCTTTTAAATTATAAAATGAATAGTATGTCATTATTGCAATAAATTCTGTCGCTATTTTTGTTTTGTTTTTTTACCTCCAACAGTATTAATTCATTTATTCACTAAAAGTAGTCTCGACTGTTGTAATTATTTACTGTGTGATCAAAATTCCTGTATACTCTTAATTAACTCCGTGCTCTCTGTCTCGTGGTCGACTGAATCAATAAATTACAAGAGGCCACTTGAGATAAAGGTCTTGTGTGGTTACAGCATGATTTTCAAAAGACAGTTCTCGCAGTGAACATCGTATGTAAGGGTCCTCGGCCTGAAAGCAACACAACTTTCTCTGATTGTTTGCAACTTGCGAGCACAACAGCAATACAGCAACTACATGTAAGTGTCTGACTAGACCAGTGACTACAATAATCTATCGCCTATTGTTTAACAATTTTCTTTCTTTCTTTCCTCTGCATCTGAATTGCACCAAGTACCTGATACCACCTGCTTGTGCATATATTTCAGTCCTGCTAACTGAGATCTTTTTTTTTTTTTTTAAATCTTACTGTATCAGTTTGAGAGAATTTACTTCAGATATGTCCTGACATGTCTTTAAACATTTGCCACTCAGTCTTATAAATTGAAATGGAGTTGAATAATATAATGATAGCTCTAAGGACCCTTGCTCTCTCTTTTATCTCCATGTCTAACCCCTCCCTCTCTCTGACTGGCTGGTGACTGGAGGCGTGATTGGGGCTCTTTATGTCACCCATGTGTCCATGCGCAAGCGCTTGACCGAAGGGCTCTCCCTGTCCTCGGAGCCAGCGGGGGGTCTTCCCAGCCCCAGCGGGGAGTGGAAATCTGGCCGGTGGTCCTCGCGATCGCTGCCGTCGTAAGAGCTACAGGATGAGCTGAGGCTGTCAGCGGGTGAACGTCCCAGAACTTCCTGTCGGCTGGACCCTTGCTGCGGCTGCTGAGGGGGGAAGCCGGATGGGGTGACATGCTCCCGTGGCGGCGAAATGGGCTCGGACTTGATGTTTATGCTGTGGCTGGTGCTGATGGAGAGGTTGGAGCCCTGAGGTAGGTGACCTCCACCACTGCGGAGAAGATAAGCATGACATTTTGTGTTCAGACTCAAAAAAATGAGACAACAAATGTGAGGTGCGATAATGCGAACAGCCAGGAATATGTAGATGTGTGATTCAGCATGATATCACAGAGCACAGTGGGTGTTGCTTTTATGTGAGGGCGTCTGGAGAGTGTGCCTTTGTTTGGAAGTGTGTTACTCACACCAAAGAATTAAGAGCTGCCTGGCCCAGTTGATGCTGTTGCCATGCCGACATGGAGCCCAGTGAGAGCCCAGGAGAGCTAAAGCCCTGTAGGGAAGAGATCTCTGCGCTGCTCAGGGAGAACTCTGTAAAAACAAAAGCAGCCACATACAGTGAGAACTCATTTCAGCTACAACACCATGTGCCGCTGAGAAAAGAGCAAGAACCAACAGCGTGTAGTACAAACATTCGCGACTGAGGCGGTTGTATTCAGTCTGAGGGGAGAGAAGGGGCCAGACTCACCAGTAGGGTTGTAGGATGTGGGCATGCCCGAGTAGACCAGGCCCTGTGGGGGTAAGCTGGGGGTGGTGACAGACACTACTGGAGTGGCCAGCGGCTGGGTGGACTGGGAGCTGCTTATCCTCTGGGTGTTCTGCCAAAACACACACACACACACAAAATATAACACTAAAAAAAACACTTTACTATAACGTAATTGCGACACATTTTCTCATTATTTAAGACATTTAATTTTGAGCGTACATATTTTAAGCTGGTCCATAAATCAGGAATATGAGTGTAATAATAAGAGCTGCCACTAAGTGGTGGTGTAGCTTCATGGAAATCAATATTCTGAGCTTTCTGATTCATTATTGTCTGTGTTTTTACAAACATGTCAAAATAAAGAGGGCAAAACAAGAAGAAATATTCATTAACTGATGTTGTGTTATTTCTGATATACATTTAAATACAGGTCACTAAATACATGTGTCATTATACAACAAACTGCAGATATACTAGTGGATTTATCCCACATTAAAAATGGTTATGGGCTTTAAAACATGTAAAATGTTAAAATATTTCAGAAATCACAATGACTATATTTTAAGAGGACAACTAACTGATGTAGTTATCACAACAACCGACATGCAGCTACAGGCAAAACAAAAGATTAATCAGATTTACTACGATCTGCTTAGTTTTACTTTGTTAGACAAGAAACAGAACGCAGTGACAGGAAAAGTGCAGGTGAGGAAACGCAAGCCCCCTTCCACAGCATCTACGGCAAATCACAGTGAGCCTACTGATCAACAACAATCAAATTAACAACTTCTAACCGAGAGGGTGCAAAAGGATAATCCCAGAGTGACGTACAGTAAAGCTCCAGTGGTTTTTTAGTGCAGTGACCAGCATGCAGTCCAAACAAACACACACCTACACAGCTCGGTGTGGTCATGCAGCAAACTACGCCGTGAGCTACAGATGCACACACTCCAACTCCGCTAATCAAAGGCAGACACAGTTTAGAACAATACTGTAACAAATCCTCACAATACAATGTAATAAACATATGTGCAGCTGCCAGCGGTTACGCTCCAAGCAGCATTGCATCATCATGATGGAGTTGATGGCTTCCTCGCATTGTTCCAACACTCTCCAGCCAGATGACTTCACCGAACCCCAAGTATCTCACAGCATGATGTCATTTAAGATGATGTAATCTTCTCGTCCTTAGTAAGAGTATAAATTATTAAGATTTTTTTTACCCAACACTGTTTTTGTTAAGTCTTAAACTTTTCAGATTGTGGCTACAATATAATAGTTAAAAAAAAAAAAAAAAAAAATTAGCATTAATTAGCGCTTAGCTTTCATCTCTCTCCCTCTCTCGTTCTCCCTCTCACACTCCTGGTGGTATATGACTAACATTGACGTGTTGGGAATAGACAAGCCAATTTAACAGGCTGAGGCAATTTTCACAGGCCAAACCCAAAACATGCAGTGACAAAACATTTTTTTTGAATTTATTATTGCTGGCAGTCCTGAGAGCCAATCTCCGGTTTGAGCACTGCCTTTAGTCTAGCATGTGTGATTACCGGAAGCGTGTTCACATTTCAGCCATTTGCCCAGGCATTTGTCAAAACTCACCAAATCCATTTCCTCCTCCTCAGACTGCCCTCAACAGAAGAGAAGAAGAGAGGCAGAGTTACAGGAAAGAAGCAGAGCGGCTGTAAAGCGCTCTGGAAAATAGTGCCAGCTATCTAGATTTTACAGTAAAAGGGGACACTGGGGAATATAAAAGTGTGGATGACTTCTGCAGTTGTTGTAAAATCCCACTGATTTTATGTCTGTAGTCTGTTGTTGTACTCATGAGCCATTTTGTCCAAAGCACAGGCACCCGATTAACTTGTCTTTGTCTTGAAAATGAAGAAGAAGAAGCAGTCACAACCTGGACAAACGCCAGTGAAGTAAAGAGCAGAGAGTACAGAGTTGTTCTGGGTATTGACGAACTCTCATCTGATTCTGAATGTGACACTGCAATCATCTCACAGTCAGCAGGAATTACATACGAATTTCTCCACTGGCAAAAACAGTGACCACATAGCACTTAGCAGAGCATTTCAAATCCTCCGTGTGCCTTAAGAGGAACCAGAAGCCCATCTTCCATCTTCTCCGTGCTGTGGGACATACTGCGACCAGGCCAGGGCTGTCTTAATACCCACACTCAATCAATAGCGGCAGGAAGACACGACAAGGGCGACAAGATATTATCTGGCTCACACCCTGGGCCCCTGATTAAGTCTTCATCTACACTCTGTCACACTGAGATGTGATTAATTTAATACCATTATGGCCTAATGACAGGCTGTCTGCAGACCTGCCACAGCCAGCGCCCTCCACAGCCTCTACCACTCCAAAAGAACCTGCCGCCCGCCACTGCCTAACCTGTTTCAAACCTCTTACAACACAACCTGTCCTGCTCTACTGATTTCCACACGCTGACAGGGTAACACGCACACTTGCTTAGAAACTGCTCCAGGCTGGATGAAGCTCTGCAAAAGAGGAGCACCCACAGTAACCTGAGGTTTATTTACCAAACACAATCATTTTCCTGGAGTGGCTCCTGTTGATGACAACACCAGCAACACCCAAAGTTGGAAATAGTATATTTGCTGGCTGCTGTCTGAGAATGCCACACTTATAGTTTTATTTTTTTGGTTGAGTTGATTTATGACCAAGAGAGTCTAGTTTAGCCTCAGGTGTCCGCTGTGGTCAGAGCGCTCTGCACCTTCATTATTATAATTAGAGAATGCCTCTCATTTAAATGTGAATAATTGAGTGGGAGTTATGACACCTGGGCTGCAGATCTATGTTAATGGCGGTGATGAAGAAGAACGCAGCACAAGAAGAATGCTGCTCAGGTGTGGCCTGCACACGGTGAGTGAGTCCCACTTGGCAGATAAACCTTCGCACGCTTCACTGGCGTGATAATATCAAAAATGGTTGTGGCAAAACCCTGCAAAACATATTAGAGTCTAGATGCCACGAAACAAGGCTCTGCTCTGCCCTGGAGCAGAGGTACTTTAAGGTCCTTTAGCTGCTGATACTTGTGTGCAGTGGTGTGCTCTGTACTCACCAGTGGGGGCATCATCCCTTTGCTAGATGGAGGGATAACAACCCTTAGGTCTGGCTTGCGGCCTCCCATTCCCATGTTCCCTCCAGGGGGTGGTGGAGACTTGGTGGGCATGACTTTACCCAGGCCATTGCCGCTGGGTGTGCTGAGGACGCCCGGAGAGCCCCTGGGGTTAACAAAACCGTTCCCTGCAGAGGTACACAGCGACAGAAACACATCATCAAACCACGGACTGTGACTGACAACACTTCCAGTTATCAAGCGAACCTCTCACACAGCGTTGTTTTTCCAGCTTGCTGCAGCACGCAGCGTTAAGTGTTTCCAACCCTCTGGGAAGTTTTAATAGACTTGGATAATTATCCTGCACATTTACAAAAATAAAATGTCCATTTCAAAATTGATGAGCCTTTTATTTTTATTGTGAATGATTACATCAAAGTCAATTCTTTGCATCTCGGGATGAGGAGCAGTTCACTGACAAATGTACTGTGACTGCTTAAAAGAAATAGCTGGAGCCATTACAGTGAATAAAAAACAGTTAGAAGATCTCGTGGTGTTGGTTTTTTTTTTACACTGCGCCCACAAACAAAAGCAAAGTGTGAGACTCTGCCTTGCACATTCACACCTTGATGTTTATGTCATGTCACCGTCATTAGTCATTTCCTTAGTTTAGTGTGTCAAACGTGAAAAAGCGATGGTTTCCCACCAACTTATTTTAGGAGCTCCCATCTGTCTAAACCACATATGGACCACCACCCCATGCAAAGGCTGGAAACAAAAAAAATAATCTTTGAAAAACACTTCAAGAAATAAAAAGAAATGTTCAGGGTTAAGTAAAAGTGTTAGAGTCGGCATAGATTCATGGTACAGTTTTTAGATACTATACCTTATTTGACAAAATACTGTTATATGTTGTGTACCACAAAATAATACACACTTAGTATTTTTTTTTTTTCATTTGTTTTAGATCATACACAGTACATAATGTTGTGAAGCTTGTTCTAATGGCTATGCTTTTGCAAAGTAGATGTTCCATGTGTGTTGACATGCCTTACAACTGTAAAAATAAAAATATTGATTAATTCTGAAGCAACTACACTATCAAAAATGATCCCTTACACATTGTTGGAGCACTGCAAACTGTCTTTAACTTGTATTTTAATTACTGTCGCATTAAAAAAAACATAGGTTTCAGGAATAGATGTATTCTTCCTGTTTTTGTCGAACTACAGCACCCTTTTTTTCAACTGCAAGACACCGTGTGCCTCGTCTGACCAAGGTCTACAGTGGGATTCTGCAAATTCCATACAAATCCACTCTAATAAAAATGGAGCAGTGAATTGCTGTCACAAAAAGGGAGCAAACAACCGCAATGTTTCAAGTGCTCTTGAGTTTAAAATCGAATTTACTTTACACAAGTCTCAGCAAAAGCTATACTTTTTACAATGTAAACACGTTGAAATCCTGAAAACAAGGGGAAGAAAGAATGAATGGCGTCTCGCGCTGCATCAACAGATCAGTAACACTTCAACAAGTTGCTGACTTCTCCATTGTGTTCAGTGTATCCCAGCGAAACACAAAGTGTGTGCACAATGAGTAGGCTCTTGCGTAGGAACATAATGGAACAATAGCCCCTCTGACTACAGATAAGGACAGCAACAATTCACGGTCAAATAAACAGTTATGAAGCCGACAATAGTATCTCACAGCTGAATCAACAGTATATACAAGCAGATATCGCCGACAGCTCTGGCTTTGATCATACAAGAGTTGGCTGCTGCGAGAAAACCGTGTTTACAGAATTAGTAGAGTAAATGTCCGAGGCCCTAAAAATAGTGAACCTGATTACAAGCAATGAAGATGTCATTCGGTGGAAATGAGATGTTAGTGCAAATAGGCTTTCATGTACAGGAATTGGTTGCAGCTTTGCAATATGGCATGTTAAGACTCTGATAACGATCAGTGGGCTGTGATATTTTATTTGAACAGAGATCTTGCTCAAAACATAAATATTTCTCATAGCAGGGAACGCACAGGTGTAACTAATAAAGATGTAACGATGGCTGCATCCCATTACGTTCTGCAGTAAACCACACCAGACAGCATGCACAAAACCATATAACTGTTAAACCTCGATGTAATACAGCTGGAATTATTGTTATTAATTACGCCTGTGCTTTCTCTGCCGATATATATCAAAATGTCTGCTGTGAAACGGCCGTTAAGTGTCTCGCGATTCTGTTGGCCTCAAACACCAAAAATATAACATGACATCCTCTGGTAACACACACATTAAAATGTTATATGTATATAACTTCAAACATCAACATATTTAATGCAAAATGTAACAAATGGTGCATCGAAAACAAAGTCCACCATACACCATAACTGCATACATACAAATAATTATATAATCACATACACATGTTTCTGTGCCTATCTGTATTGTTAAAAGTCCTTTACAGTGTTTTTTGTCCAAAAAAAGTAGCTATAATAGAGCGAAGAATGATATATGCCTCCTGTGCCGCCTCTCAGCACGTATATATATCTACTGATCCACTGAGTTTTATTTTGTGCCTTAAACTGTTACTGTTGTTGTCAAATTATTTTATACAGCATGACTGAAACAAGAATGTACTCACACTGTTTCTATTAACATGTCAGTCATTTTCTTTGTTCACTTCCATACCAACATCTTCTGGGCTGACAACAGTACGACACACGTTGCTTCACAGGGTAAGGACATACACCCAGTGCTGTCTTCACTAGCCACAGTCAGACCCACCTGACTTACATATCTTTGGAATCTGCCTCTGATTATGACTTCAGATGTCTGCGGATGATTAAATCCCACACATCTTTCAAATAATTGCCAAGAAGGGAGCACATGTCTGAACAAATATTCAGACCACAAAGTTAATTTTGAGCCAAGGTAACAGCCACAAGTTAAAACCCAGCCTATCGGCGGGGGACGTTGTCTGCTGCCCTCATTCCATATTCAGACTTCTCTAACGGCTCGGTCTTGCCAATAAATCCTCTCTGACTGAAACCTGCGCGTGTTGAAAGCTGTTTGGTTTCTGTTCATTGTCCTGAATTATTAACACGGTCTGGGAGAGGGGCATTACATAAGGCCTTGTGTTTACAACTGAAACATTCAGTTTTCATTTTAAGGCCAGGGAAAGAAAAACACTGAGACTTATTGTGCCCAGCATCCCACGTGAGTCAGGTTCAGGCAGAAAAGAAAATGTCTTGATGAATGAGAAGAAATAATAGATGTGAATCAAGGCCTCCAAAAACAGTTTTCTAATAATAGACGCCACGCACAGTCCTACTGTTGTGTCTCAGAGAACTAAGACCAGGCAAGATGTGCAGAAGGTGATTTGTTATGGCAGATGGCAACCAGGTACACAATCGTTCTTGTATTTTTATACAGCATGGATATGATTCATCATCATCCTCCATCTCTGAATACATGTTTCGCATTCAATCAACCTACAGCAAAAGAAAATAACTTTCTAAAAGTAACATTTGCACCAACAAAAACAATTTCTTCTTTTACCTGATGTGATCTGCTGAACACAAAAACATACTTTGTAATTGTATTTCAAGAACATACGATGTTTCAATACTGTCGAAGGGTTGTGTACAGCTGGCAGACATATACACAGCTTTCATTCTTAATGCTCACCAGTCAAGGAGCAGAGCTTGTAATTAGGAGTAATTGTATGAGCTGTTGAAAGAAAAGATCTATTATAGAGCTGCACGCTGATGTAACGGTACAAAATGAGACAAAAAGAGATTGTTTTTTGAAAGTGGAGCCATTATCTAATCCAAAGACTAAACAAGAACAACAGATGGTTTATTTTAGAAGGAACGACTGAAATTTGTTTGCTAGAAAAAACTTCCCAATGATGCTGCCTGTGACATTAACACATGTGTGCTTGCAAGTCAGCCGATTCCTACAACCAGCTAATAAGTGAACCCACATAGGGACCTAGAGGTTGTGTGGAAAACAGTTCAATTCTTCTATTTGCCTTATGGAAAAAAAAAACCTTCTCTCTGTGGTGACACCATCGAACAGGAGAGAAGATATCACACGGCACATCTTCCATCTGGCCACTTTGAAAGGCTTCTGCTGTGGTCATAGCTGCTACTTGTGAAAAATCAGAGCTATGTCAGGAATGGTCATCTGACAGCAGGGCTGGAGAGGTTTCTCCTCCCTGTAGTCTCTGCTGTTCTACACACTTGGTACAAACAACAGCTGCACCATGCTCGCTCTGTGCCAAACGCTGACGCCCCCTGGCAGAGGATACTAACTATCCTGACCCTGTGCCACACCTTGAACTTACCCAGCACTCCTTTTAAAATGTTGTAAACCGACTCCGAGTGCTCATACTTTCTAATCAATACCTCGACAAATATCCTATCGCAGGCTTATATTTTTGTGGTTGTCCACAAGCTATGAACATTGAATTCGTCCAGTTTCGTAACACCATATTGCATGTTGTCAGAAATACTATATGGAGTACAGCAAGCTAAGTGACAAGCGAAGAGTTAACTCCACCTGCCTGCGCCTCTCACACAGCACATTGCAGCCATGACAGGCTGTCCGGTCATTGTGTACCGAGGACTTAGTGGGATGTCATGGCCCGAATACCTAAAGGGTTATGCTGGTCTAGGCATCTTACAGACCCTCTCCAGCCTTATAAGGGCTGTCAGAGTAGTGGGGGGAAACAGATGCACCTGTCAATAGAGGGAAGGAAACAGGATGGGGGAGGGCTACATAGAGGTGACAAGTTTAAAGGAAACGCTGCGTTTATTTACCTGCCAAAGTCAGCTGGACAGCTAATTGCCTCGCCTGGTTACCCAGGTTGCTTTCAAGCACAAACACCACACTGTGTGAATGCCGCCGAGCCGTTTCCCATCTCTCACACATGCGTTTAACAAGCATACTATAGATTTCCTCTGTTGAGAGGAGCAACACTTGTATTCACGATGCATGCAGTGAAAATAAAGTCGGGCAAAGGCACTATCAGTCAATGATAGTGACAACCGTCTTGAACCAATCACAGATGGAAACGCAACTATCCAGCTCGCGTGCTAAGCAGGAGGCCTATTGGGCAGAGCTACAGAGAGCTAATGAATCTCTAGGGAGGACTTACCCGCTGGGCTGGAGCCCACACCACTTGGCACTGAAAGGTCTGTGGTATCCAGCATGCCACCTAATGAGATGCACAGAGTGATATGATTAACCATCTGCATCCTTCTGCAAGCTAGCAGAGCATGTGATGGAGATGCCAGACCAGACATGAAAATGTCATGTAGATCTATCTTCACAGCACACCAAAGGGAGGTGTGTGTGCTCCCGCCAGTGTCCTCATGGTGGGGGAAATATTCAATATGTGATTAAAGATCATATATTGAACATCAAGCTGCGTTCAGCATGGTGTTTGTTATAAAGTTGGAGGTGGTGAATGCAGAGTTCCACTATGAGGATGCACCTGCAGCAAGCAATTACCAGTTGTCTTGGAAATCAGGCATCTGCTCGAACCTCTCTCCTAACAGTCGAATGAAAACTCTACAATGTAGACGCTTTCAAAAGATACGCTTAACTCAAGCACACACTGCCAACACGCCACATGAGTCTGGGCATTTTTTTTTAGCTTGTAATAAAACACAGATCTAATATGAATCATAAAAAAGAAAAAAAAAACAATACACATAGAGCAGCGAATAATCAAGCAAGAATTATTGTAAAAAACAAACATTAAGTAAACCCCCTGCATATGGGTAGGTCTTGGCCAATTCTGATACGTGGTTAATTTTGAATGAGGCATTTCACACCTTGTTGCATGTACTTCTATCGTATGCAGTGTATCTGAATCTTGCAAAAGCCATCTGGACCGACTGAGTCAGACCAGTCGTACAAGCACTAGTGTGGACTGACATCATTTTTCCACAATGCTGATATGGTAAAAGGTGTGATGATGAGCATTTTGGAGGGTGTGAAAAATATATATCACACAAACGCCAGTTTAAGGGTGCTAGTATGACATGACTGCTTGACCTTAGGTCCCTTATATCCAACACCATCTTAAAAAAAAAAAAAACTATATGTGCCTTGGAGGTAACCAAAAAACCCAGAAGAAACTTTAAAGGGGAACTAATGTTTTTTTCAACCTGGGCCCTATTTTCCAATCTACTTTTGTCTAAATGAGTGATAGGATGTTCATTATTTGACATTTCTCTGGTACGAAGCTAGGGCGGACCTGCCTGCAGCTCGTGAGTGCGGGCTATATTAAATAATAGGGCACTGGGACAGCGTCACACAACGTCAAAATACGTCCAGACAGTATAGTAAAACACCAAAGAAGAAAAAGAAGAATCTCGCGAGACATGAGATTTCAGAGCCAGACTTTCACTCTGAGTGAATGTTTTGACTTGCCACAAGAAACATGTCTGAATTTTTACCCGATTTTGACCAACTGGATCTGGATGAACCATTTGAATTTGCTGACCGCCCGTATTAATTTGAACACGGAGTACACGGACGCAGAGCTCATTGAAACTGAAGAGCGGACGAGGAGAGAGAGGGAGCAGCAACAGGCAGAGGAACATGTCTGAATCCAGCTAAAGGTAAACACAGACGTTCATTTCTCCTTTCCATTATGTTGTCGGATAATTATACGAACAATCCGAGCCTATCTATGTAAAAAAAAAAAAAGCACTTTTAGTGGACGTATTTTGACGTTGTTTGACGCTGTCTGAGTGCCCTATTTTTTAACATAGCGCGCTCACGGGCTGCAGGCAGGTCAGGCCGAGCTTCGTACTGGAGAAATGTCAAATATTGATCATCCTATCACTAATTTAGAAAAAAGTAGATCAGAAAATAGGGCCCAGGTTGAAAAAAACGTTAGTTCCCATTTTAAGCTACAGTTGGTAGAAAATAACTTTTTGTCATAGTTGCTGAAACTGTCACTATATTCACATTATTATATACATGAGACAGATAGTGTGTGATGAAACTCACATTCCTTCTCCTCCTCCTCATAGTGACTCTTATGGCATTTTTTAGCATTGACTGCAGCTGTTGGAAAACAACCCATCGGAGTCAATCAGAGTCTGTACATCATGCCAATCACTGCTCGCAAACTGCAGTCAAACTGTCAAACTCAGCGGCGCTGATCAAATATGAATCAAGATTCTGTTACTGCCTTGTTTTTTTTTCATGAGAACGTTGGTCTGGCTGGTGGGCGGCTCTTGGTTTTGCTTAACTGTTTTCAACATGGCAGCCGGGTCACTAACTTTCTCATGTTACAGCTAAACAGTACACTAAAATATGTCTCTGTAAAAAATTTTAGGTGAGAAATGGGCAGTGCAGTAACAGAATTTGATTTATATTTAATCGGCACTGCCTAGTTTGACAGTTTGACCGCAGTTCTCCAGCTGTGATCTACTTGATTGACAGCTGTGTTAGATTCAAATGCCACTGGGGCACTAAGAGGAAGAGGATAAACATGATGGTTTTTTTGCATAGAGTTAGATGAGGAGATTGACACCAACCCATGTCTGTGCACAAAGTGTAAAGCTAGAGCCAAGATGCAATAAGCCAAGATGCAATTAGCGTTGTGTTGTAAGGCGTTGTGGTTTTACGGGGGTTATGTGGTGTGACTACCTCTTGGGTAGTTTTATTTTCACTGTGAAGTTGCCAAGCAACCACACATATTAACTGTAGTTCATCCAAAAAAAAGGAAAAAAAAAAAAAAAAAAAAGAAATTCATAGTTTTACATCATATAACTTCCACAAAGTCCACATATTAGTAACTTCTGTTATTAAGTATGTTCATGTAATGAGGTTTTGAGGAGACAGTAGTTGTTTTTTAGCATTGGAGAGAACCAGGCTAGCTGTTTCTGCCTGCTTCTGTAATTTATGCTATGGTAGGCTAATGACCTCCTCATTGACCACTATTAGTTCTCACTAGAGTTGTAAAATTATTCTACAAACAAAGCATTTATGTCATCAGAATAATGAGAAAGATGATATAATCACACACAAATGCACACAAAGGGGCTTCAATCGTAAATAAAACCTGCTCTGAGTGGTCTGGATCATCCTCTGTGCACCACTCTGACTAATTAACTGTGGTTTTTGTTCACTAACCTGTACTGGTGGGCCTCTGGGGTCCTCCACTTGAACCCACATTCCTGTGCAGAGAGGCCTGTGGAGGGGACAGCATCCCACTGTCACTCAGAGAGGCCGTGGCTGCTGCCAGTGCCTGGCTGCCCAGAGTCCCTCCTGGCTGGTACATGGCATTGGGATTGGATACAGGCACTGCCACATGCATGGAGAAGTTCTGCTGAGGCAATGCTGTGGGCTACAAGAGGAAGACAAACACACACAGAGGTTTATACACAAACACACTCAAAACCCAAGGTCTGATGATGAGTCTGATGGGTCAGTGGTTGTCATGGCATCATTATCAGAGAGCTCCCCTTGAGGGTTTGCTTTCATAAACAAGGATACACTGTGTGTTTTCAACTCTGCCGCTGCTTTATAACAAAATATTTTAGGAAACATTTCTGCCCCACATCTGAGGGCTGCTGAGTGACACTATATAACCATCAAAGAAGATTATTGTCATTAATATCACACATAAAGAACACACACATTTTCAGTGCTACCGCAACACACACAGAAAACACAGAAAACAAAATAAACATGCACTCAGGTGATTCACTTCGGCATTGCAGCAGTCAGCACTACAGACATACTTTTGCCTTCTGAAACACCACGGTGTAACGTGTTTCTCGGCACAGCAGAGAGGGGTAGCGGGGATTCACAGCTACAAGAATCGTGACTCACTTGCATTTACCTACAAAGTGCTGACTGTGCAAAGCGCAAGTGAGAATGACAGGTGGCAGTGAGAACGTTTCATCATAGCATTATCCAGTGAGCCAGTCGGCTGTTATCATTAGTTTGTTAATGGCAAAGTGATGCTCGTCATGTCAGGGACATATAGAGAACGACTGCTTAGTATGCACTGTGTTCTTGCACAAGTCTAATATTGTCACGCATGATAAGATCACAAAAGATTTGTGGTGTTTTAGTGGGTGAGCCAGTGTGGTACTTGATGAAGGAGAGGGAGGATGCTAAATGATAGTGCAGTGTTAGTGTGCTCTGGGAACACTTTACTGCTGGAGCTGTTCAGGAGTAAGGGATATTTTATGCTAGAATGCACTGCGAGAGAGGTAACAGGAAGATTTAAAAGGAGGAACATGACATTATCAAGGAACTGTGAAATATTTAATTTGTTTTTGTTACATTATGGGGTAAAATCAGGTCTGAGATGGAAATAAACCTGCAGAACCTTATGATAAACACTCACCATGTGTGAGTATGTATGTTCTGTACACTCTGATGTTTAAATAGCTGCTGCTGCTTGATTAATGATAACATGACCATGATACTGGGGTGTTTTCTTTCCAGCAGAAGCATGCAACATTTCACCTGTTCACATGAAATGTGATCTTATCAGGGTGTGTCAAAATATCAGTTGCAGAACAAATCAACATAAGAAACAAATGCACACCCAGTGACGGGGGGGCATTAATCTTAAGATAGAGTAGTTCTGAAAGAAGTTGACAGAGGTTCTGGGGGGGTAGGGGGGAAGGTAACAAAAAGAGGAAAAAGTTAAATGAAAAAAGAGTGAAAATCCTTTTGTGCCACAAAGCCAAGCAAAAACGTTGCATTTACAGTACTTACGATTTTATGATTTCTCATCATATTATCAAACTCCTCATTAATTTTTTTATACTTTTCTTCTGTGTGAGGAGTGAGGACATATGAGGCATCGGGGTCCGGGCTATCACAACCTCTGTGTTCTTTCTTGTTTAGCGCCTGTAGTGAACATCAACATAAAGACAGAAATCAACACAAAACAGCAGGGGACAAAGGAAGTACTTACACCACAGCGCTTGTACATTAAATCACTCTCTTCGTTTAGTTTGCCGAAATGGTCGTCCATGAGGGGGCTGTGCCCAAAACAGTCATCAGGATCAGGACTAGCACAGTCATTATGGCCTTTGTTTCTCAATTTCTGAAAGGAAATTGCACAGTTGAGAAGAAACAGTATAGTAGTAGTGGTGTTACCTAATATATATACACTTCTCCTGGAAAATATAAATCAAACATGAACAAAAATAAACATCTACAGTACGATTGTCTTTCCTTTTTTTCTTTTGTTGCAGCACAAGAACAGCTGCTGCACAAATGCTAGGCTAAACTGTAGCTCAATACAAGGCTCTGTACCAAGGGGAAACTGAAATGTCACTCTGTATCCTTTCACCCTTCAGATGTGTTCAGAGAAACAAAATATTGTCCTCCTCCCTTTTTCTCTCTTTCTCTCTCCTTCACCCTCCTCCTCCCGGCCTCCATCCCTCTCCGTTCTTCCTCCTCTTGCTGCGAGTGTGTGTTTGCATTTTTCATTATGTTTCAGTTATCATAAGCCACCCAGCTGGAAGAAACCCCTGCATAAGACGATCCTACAGCAGCGCACTTTAAGACTGTCCCAGTCTGTAATTCAGTACGGTTGTCACTCGTGGGATCTTATCAAAGTTAATGCATGTGGGGGGAATAAAATGGATTATCAAATGTGGTCAAAGATGCCTATTTGAGTGTGAAATTGAGCAATTATTGTAAAAAGCAAAGTGCTCCTAAGTACATAGGGTGGTGTGTTGTGGTGTTATAAAGAGCCTATTCTAACTTTGTGGAAAAAAAACATGTCATACAACTAAATAAATAAATGCAACGCTTTGCTCTTTCGCTCACTTTCTTACAGGCTGTTCTCTGCTCCTCATTACAGCTCTGAATAGCGGTGTTAACAAGACTCGCTGACAGCATGTGACAGCATGTGATATCAAGGCAGCGTACATCAAAACATGATTTATGTGTGGCTCGCAAGGTTCCTCTATCAGACTACTGCAGGTCCACAGCAGCACCCTGCCCTGTCTGTGGGCTGCCTCGGAGGCCTCGTGTCTACAGGAAGGTCACTGACTCCTGTGGATGCAGGGGTCAGAGTGTGAGGCAGAGGAGAGGAACCTACACACACTAATGAGACCTTACTCTCTGTTTCTGGTCTTCATCACCTAAGAAAGTGGAAAATGTGTGTGTGTGTGTGTGTGTGTGTGTGTGTGTGTGTGTGTGTGTGTGCGAGAAAGAGAAAGAAAGAGAGACTTATGTGAGTGGGAGTGTGTGTAGTGCATATGTGCAGTATGTGTGTGGTGGTGGGGGGGGGGGGGGGGGGGGGGGGGGGGGGGGGGGGGGGGGGGGGGGGGGGGGGGGGGGGGGGGGGGTTCTACAGCTGCTACATCCTCTCACAGCGGTGTGACGGTACGTATAGGTCTGTGCAAGACAATGCGGCTAACCCAGCACTGCTCACCACAACCTCAGTGTAAGTTATATTTCCTAAAACCTGTGCTATGGCTTTATGAGAGTCCTGCATAATATCATTGCTCATTAGAACGAGATGATGCCAAATCCTGCGCTGCTCCACCTCGTCTCCATGCATGCACACAATTTGTGAGGGATGTAAATTTTGGGGGGCACGGGAACAATGTCGATCTCCAGCAGTGTGCGCAGAAATAAGGAAGTTCAGAAAAGCACCCACATCTCTTGAAACATAAGTGTCCGCAATGCCCAGAGGAGAGCAAGCGAGAGAGAGAGATAAGTCTTCTGGATAATGAATGGCCACCACTGTACCACAGATGCATTACTGTTTGGTGCGGTACAGAGCAGGGGCATTCTTCTCATTCTAAGAAAACGCCTTGCTGGTTCATTTCCTGTTTACTGAACGAACCCTCTCTAGTTAGGGTCCTGAAAGGCCTGTGTTTACTGGGGTTAAACTATGCACTTTCTCCACCAGTGAGCCCAAGATCTGATCTGAACCTGCAAATTTAGGTTCCAACCTGCTCATTATGGGAATAGCTTGGTCGGACTGGTCGCAAGATGGGCAGGGCTGCTCTACTTTCTACTTTCACAACAAGCCTGGCCAGCCTTCATTACACCGCACCCACTGGCCCAAGCCATTTAGGGAGGGGTTGCAGCAGCATAGTGGGTGAGCGGGAACCAGATAGCAGCAGACAAGGGCAGGCAGCAATCAGATCTGCTCCATGATACATTACACGAATCACTACAATACATATTATCCTTAAAAAGATGCACTGAAGGTGCCGCGTGTATGGATGCCATTTTGTGCGCAAGAGTTAATCATCTCTTGTAATGCATATAACATCTAAGGGCTAGGAAAGCATGGCTGTAATTCTTTGTTAAATGACTTGGCATGTTCTGGGTGTCCCACAGACGCTGCCCACAGCTCCCAGTAAATGGATCACTAAATCAGCACATGGCCAAACAGGTGTCCCTCTTCCAAACACCTGTCAAGACCTGGCTCCCCATGCTGGCCAATCAGACGCAGCCGCGCAGAGATATGGCCGTAGAAGGGACCACATGGAGCCCTGAAGGCCACCCGACCCCAGATCAACTTTGCTCTTACATGTCTATGCTGCAGACTGCTCCAGACACTACAGTGTTCTGACCTAGAAAAAGGGGGAAAACTTACTGAGATGATTAGGATGCAAAAAAGAAAAGATAACTCCTTTTTGCATTATGAATAGTTTTATAAAAGCAGTTTCAAATGTTGAATCAAGATGTGGGGTTTGAACTTGCGAAAGCAAAGTTGGCTGTATGTGAATAGAGCTGAGGTTGGGATTTTCAGTAGCATTTCTAATGAAAGATATAGGCTGTTTGTTGCACGAGGGGGGCCCGGAGAGAGTATGGACAAGGGAACTTGTGTAATCTATTCACAAGGTCCTGAGAGGCTCACAAAGATGAGTGGGAACAAGGCCAGCTGCTATTTTCTCACAGCAGTCCAAACCTGTATTGATAGAAATTTGGCTCTTCAAATAAAAATGAGACTCTGAGTGGCTGACGTCAAACCAACTGGGCACCATTGTCTGTGCTTGCATGTATGTGTGTCCATCAGTTCGCTTGTGTGATACTTGAACTTCTCTTAAAAAAGACATTTTCCATTGCAGGAGGCCTTGAGGCTTCCTCATCCTGAAGAAAACATCTATCCGTCATCTCCATCTGAGCCCTGACTATTAACCAGGCTGTAACCATGGGGAACATTCAGCACAGTAATTGCCTCTCCAGATTTGCAGTATATGCTCAGTAAAGAAGAGTATAGCACAGTGAAAGGTAACCTTGCATGCCATATAAAGATCAGATAAAGAGATCAATAGGACTTCTTTTTCAATGTACTTCTGCCCAGTTAATACCTTAAAAAATGCTGTGGAAATACATAAACATTTTTTGCTCGATTCTGGACTTCAGATTCACTTTTAAGCCTTATATTCACATTTTTATTGCAAAATGGAAGCAAACACTATTCCGTGGATTAAAAATAAAACCCAAACCGTTGCATAAGCCACCTACATCACCTGTTTTCTTGAGAAGCACTTTCAGTGAAATGGGCCCAAGCAACGTACTCCGCTGCTGCGAGTCTTGGAAAACAATTTCGCTCTGATGTTCTTCCTCTCTCTTGTGTCAAGAGAGCTTTCTGCATTTAACTTATTCATGTACTGTACAGTACTGTACGTGAATAGAAGGCAGGGTGAAAGGAGGAAGATAGTGGTTCGGCATAAAAGCTCAACTTCAAAATTGTGGGGGAGATGGCTGAAAGGAAAGGCATGAAGAGGCTGGTTCGTCCATTGTGCCTGAATCACAGCAGCTTTCACTATCGGTAGAGGACCACCTGACCTGTGACTGGTGCATCACTGCTCTGATTACAGGCCCCTCAACAGCAAGACAGTTTGTCATGTAATGGCGACAGCGGGAAATTACACAAAATGTTCCAAAAGTGGAGAACAACATGAATGTTTAATGCATGTCTTGTTTATCTCAGCCTGCCCCGAAAGTACACCGAGGCTATATTTTAACCGGTTGTTGTGCAGCGGCCTCCCCTCACCTCATTTCAGCCGGGTCTCCCAGCCTCTCGCCCTGTAGTGCTGTGAATTAGCCCTTGTGCCCGCCGCTACACTAAGCAAGGTAGCGTGCTAATCCTCATGACATCACCATTGTGTCCAGGCCGTTCCATCTAATGTGCTTATCAAAGGGCTTCTTTGAGTGTGAACGCACTAGGAAATCAGCATGGGAAGGCGGCTGATAGGAAGGCTTTTATCTGCTGAGGAATATTTCTGCTCTTATATAACATCTTAAGAGACTTTCACTACCATCATGTTCCTTTTCCCCCTGTGGTGCTGTAGTCTTCACTTGAGGGGAATAAAAGCCTCTTTTGGTTGGTCTGTAGTATGCCATAGCCCAGCACTAGGTTACTGTAATGCAGGAAGCCTTCTTCTTCTTCTTCCTCCCTCTCTCTCCATTTCCCACCGCATATTGTGAGTTGGGAGTGAGGGGTTATTACAGTAGATAAGGAGACCTCTGTAATGCCCAGACATATCTTGTTTAATCTCATGACCATTCCACATTACTGACTGATTTGAGGATATGAGGCTGGATTCATGTCCTTCCTGTGGCTCACTCCATTGTCTAGTTACACAGTAGACAGGAAGAGCAGCAGGAGGGGGCAACTCGACCGTCTGCTTTTTATTTTGACATTGTTGTCTTGTAGCTGTACATACATAGTGAGATTCAATCCCACCTGACACTACAATGACAAGGGACACACCGCTGTGAGCTCAAGTCGTGACCTATTAATCCAAAGTGAGTCATGCTTACTAAGTCTGAACCAGCGAGAGATACACATGAGAACAAACTAATTAGATCCCATACTGTATACTGCCAACGACTACCTGCATTCTACTAGAGTGCCAATTAAAAATAGCCCATCCACGTTACTGAATAAGAGGCAATTGCTGTGCAGTGAGCAGTCCCTTCAGAGCTTTCTGCTCTGAGACTGTGGTGAATGACTGATGTGACAAAGCTATTAGCCGCCACAGTGAGAGGGAACAGTCTCAATCAGCGGACTGCATATTTTCAGTATAGACAGGAGGGAATTAAACTACAAATTGAGGATAAAGG